AAACATTATATTAAGATTTGAGCTACTCCCCCTATCAGATTGACCTTTTAGGATAGAACCCCGTATTTTAACTGAATTTATTAAAATAAATAAAAACATTGTCAATGTCACAACGACAATAGAACTAATGCCGAAAACCCCCATCGTGTATTCGTGTATCATTGCATTTTCCTTTTTCAGGATTTTTCAAGCTTAGGACAACAATGTCTTTGAGTGAAAAAACAACAATTACTTAACTGGGCACGAATAAAGTTATGTTTTCGGGTCGAATAGGATGTCAGCAATTCAAACAGTTAGCCTCATATATCCATCCCAATCCCAAGTATCATAATATTTGGTGCTTTTGATTTTATATTACAAGCTCTTTAAATTTAAGATGAGCTAGTGTTACCGTACTTCACAAATAAATGAAGGTATCTTACTTATGATACACTTGAACGGTTTAAGTCATTCTCCCATCATTTATTAATGGGATACGGGTCAGATAGAGCCTCGAACTTGAAAAAAATGTCAAATAAGGTCATATTTAGGATGCTCTGTCCGGCCGACGCCATTTGGGGCGGTTCCCGGTGGAATTTTTTGATGAATTTTTTTGAGAATTTTATTCATTAAGTTTAGTTTACTCATATCAAATTTGAACTAAAACTTCAATCGAGAAGGCATTCAAATGAATTCTTGAAGATAATTGTGCAGTTAAAAGCGCAGTTATCTTCAAGAATTCATTTGAATGCCTTCCCGATTGAATTGTTAGTTCAAATTTGATATGAGTAAACTAGACTTAATTAATAAGATTCTCAAAACATTTCATCAAAAAAATTCTACCGGGAACCGCCCCAATGCAAATGGCGTCAGCCGGACATAGCATCCTAAATGTGGCCTTATTTGACATTTTTTTCCAAGTTTGAGGTCTTATCTGACCCTTATCCCTTTATTAATATTTAAATGATTCAATTATAATTTAATTGACCCACGTAAGTAGGCAAGATATGTTACGTTAAGAGTAGCACAAAATTTGCCTAAATTTAATACTAGTCACTTTTAAGAATGTCTACAACTGGCCAAAGATGGCCCTACTTTTAATTCGAGTGCTTTCAGTCTCAAATACGACCAATTCACATCAATTCAGACTTCAGACTATACCAGATCAGAGTGGACTTCGACAATTGTAAAATACATATAGAATACATATTTACCGGATCAGGTTAGACCAATTCTTATCAAAATAGACCAAATAGACCAGTCGAGATCAGGCCATAAAATTTCAATCCCTTTAAGGTGGTGTGTGGAACTGACTCTGATTCTGCTTCTTTTTTAATGTAGAAGCAGAATCAGAATCAGTTTTCAGAAGCTGGTCACCCCTAACTTCTAAAAAACTAATTCTAGGAGTAAATTAGAGCACCAGAATCACTTCTGCACTTTCACCCAAACACTTCAGCTTCTGCTTCTCCTCTCTGAAGAAGCAGAAGCATTTGAAAGAATCAAATCCTAAACACCCCTTAAAATTCCAAGGGATGCAACGTGAGCGAGCGCCCTAGCTAGACTGAAAATGAAAAAGCTTTTCTTAGACTCATAATTACTACGTACGAAGTATTTGTTTATGCATGATTCCAATAAACTTCTTATTTCTATTCAGGCCCACACTTTATACTTATATTTTGTATTTGAATAAATTGATTATTCAAATCTTAACACACTTTACCCGTTTTAATTAATTGTTTATGACATAAATAAAAATTGTTTATAAAAATTTGACATTTTATGTGTAGTGTCTGTAATATTAACTTTAAGGAATATTTCGGTGTATATACAACTTTAAATAAATGTAGTTAAATTTATGTCATATATTTGTATAAATAAAACAAATAGCCTAACTAACTTATTTAAAAGGATAAGAACACATGGTTATGTATGCTAACTATAATTACGCAGTCACATAATACTTATGAAAGTGCCACATAGTTTTTGTTTTTGAAGTGAAAGTGCTACACACTTAAAAATAAAACAATAATCTAGGTTATTAATTTGTCCGCTCATATTTATTTAAGCTATATAGTCGTTTAACCCTAACTTTAATCATTGTAATATGTGTTCAGTTTTAATGTTTAAGTAACCACGATAGTACACTTATTGTAATTTTAGTCAAATTTCTGTAAAAAATGTTTTGTTTAATTTCGATAATATTTTGAAGGTTTTAGATGACCATATCTAATTTGATAGCTATGCAATGACAGTATTACCCCTCACCTTTTCTCTTACACGTGTATTATTTCATTATGCAACCATTGCTATTTGCTATGTTATCCCGCTCAACTAATTTTCATAGATATATAGTAGGAGCATACTGGCATATATATGAATTTATGATGCATGTAACTAGATATATATATAGAAGAAGGTTAACCATCTTGCACACATTGTTTATTTTAAAATGTCATTCTCCCTTTAATAATATACTCATTAGCTGTAAGTATGATTTGCATTATTTATACGCAGGGGCGGACCCAGAAAGTTTGTCTTGGGAGGGCGCTAACTTAAACAAAATATTTTTTGGGAGGGCGAAAATTATTTTTTATTATATATATACACCAAAAACATTTGTTGTTGGGGGGCGACCGCCCCCCTGGGTCTGTACTACGGTCCGCCCCTGTTTATACGGAGTAATGAACTAAATTGTACCAAATTGAAGCTCATAACTAGCACTTGTGACTAACGTAAGAAGGCACTGCTTTCTTTTTCTCATTTGCGCATAGACCATGACGTGGGAAAATTCGTAATAGTATTTTTGCATTGAGGAATCAACTTAGAACCCCAGATTAAAATTTTATACTCCGTAAAACATATACTCCCTTCGTCCCAATGGAAAAAGTCTCGTTTGACTTTTACAATTAAAAAATGACACTATTTGGAAACTGTTTAACATTGTTTGACACTATTTTGCATTTTTTTGTTTACCAAATAAGAAAAAAGACATTTCAAGAGCCGGACCGAAAAAAAATACATGTTTATTTTGGGTCGGAAGAAGTAATGATTTTAATAAGTTTAATAAATGAGGTTGAAATTTCTTGTTTGAAGCTTTATTTCTACAAGACCATAATAATGCCCGTAACCAATTACTACTATGAGGCGATTATGCCATTACGGTCGACAAGAGTCCAAGTAGACTAAATTGTGACCTAGGATTTGCTAAATACCACTCAATGCTAGTACTAATTAACTTAAAGTGATTATTACTACGTATTAAGTTACAAACCATTCTTATTATTTGTGTGCAAATTTTGGTTTACGCTTTTCGTTGATATTCTAGTTAAAATATTTGGACATAAAAGTCAACTCTAACTAACAAAACAGAGCTAAGAACATTGAAGATTTTTCGGAACCGAAAAATATGTCTTTCTATTTTTATTTTCGGATTTAATAAAGAACAGGGAATTTTTCAAATAAGACTAAATGAAATGTTAAGTACTTCGTATCAAAGTAGAATCATAACTTAAAATTCCCTAAATATATGACTAGCTTTCCAATTATACCCTTTCTTTGTTTTAATACAATTAATATTTCATTAATAATTAAAATATAAAAGTAATAACATAGCGTTATTTATAATAAAAATGTAAAAGAAAACCTGAAATAAAAATTATATATACTTAATAAAAATAAAGAATCAAATAAATAAAAAATTATAAAAATAATTAAAAAATTAAAATAAAAAAAATGCAGGCCTATATGTTGCCGCATCACCAACCTACTACATTTTGACCCTTTCCCTACAACTTTGATGCATACAAAATTAATTTTATAGACAAAGACTTTCTTTGCCCACAAAGGAAATATTTTGTAGGGTGTTTTCTTTTCCTACAAATTTTGTTCCCCACAAAAATTATTTGTCGGGAAAGACATCATATCTCTTCAAAAAAGTACTTCTTAGTCATAGTTCTTTCCCCACACATTCTTTAAACACAAAACTATATTTGCAGGCAAAGTTACTCTTGTTGAAAAGGAAAAATTACTTTATGGAATGCACGTGTAAGGTATAATATTAGAACATTACGGATTAATAAGTTTTAAATATAGTTTTTTGTATTAAACTTGGTTTTGATTTCATTCTCAGGCTATATCAAATGAGACTAATAAATTGAACTTAAACAGATTAGATTAGGTCAGACGAAAACAAACCTAATATAAAATATAACATACCAAACCAAATATATTAACTAGATTAAAAACCAATTTGGTAACACTGAAATTGACTGAATCAGTTGATTCTGCTAAAATTTATGAAGTATCCGGTGAAGTAATTAGATGACTGATTCTGCTGATTTATGAGAAAATTATATTTAAAATAATTTTTACTAATGAAATAAAGAAAAAATTATATGAAAAAAATAGCTAAAATGATCTCCTATAATAACTTCAGCCAATACAACAAGAAAAACAATTCTAACTTACTTTTTCTTATTATTACACAATTTAGCATGCAAAATCAAATGTTACATGTTTAGTGAAAAAATTGATTGATAACCTGATAAACCGAAAAACAGAATCACCAAAGGGGCTCAAAGGTTGAAGTGGAAAATAATACGGAGCAGTATACAAAGAATATTTCACATTACAATCAGACTAGATTTTATAATATCTATCCAGACATGATAAGGGGGTGTTTGGAACTGATTCTGCTTCTACTTCTTTTTTTTTAAAGTAGAAGCAGAATCAGAATCACTTTTTAGAAGTTGGTCACCCTCAGTTTCTAAACAACTGATTCTCAGGGTAAATTAAAGCACCAGAATCACTTCTGCACTTTCACCCAAACACTCCAACTTATGCTTCTGCTCCCTCAAGGAGCAGAAACAATTTTAAAATTCAGATCTAAACACCCCCTAAAGGTCTTTCAAACTCAATAAAATATTTGGTCTTTCAAACTCAATAAAATATTTTAATTTAGTGTTTTTTTCGTTACTCTATGTCAAAGTGGACTGGACTAATCATTTTTGGCTCCAAAACTAAAAATTTCCCTCTACCTTTTTACCTAAATCCCACTACGCTCCCACTACCCTGGCTAATAGCTCTCCACCAAATGACCCAATTATGCTAAAAACCTAAATTCTTTTGCCGCTGTTTCGTTTGAAGTACGCGTATTATTTCAATTGAAAAGCTTGTTTTCTATTGATGAAGTACGGCGGTAGTTCTTGATGAAGTCGACGCCTGGGATTGTTTTCTATTGATGAAGTACGGTGGTAGTTCTGAGAGCAATTGATTGATTCCTTCAGCTATACAAGTAAAGTGAGAATCTCGATTATACCTAGCCTGCGACCCTTAATCTTTCATCGTTTCTTTTATGGACTTTCAAATTGTTTGTTTAATTGAAATCATATGGATGGCTACCCTGTTTATAGTTGCTAAATAAAAGACACATCTTCTTGATTTAGTATATGTATATCACCATATGTATATATTTGTCCATATTCTAAGGCGAGATTACCACTTGATTTCTGTCAATACCAGCACAAAATGGTATGAGAGTGATCCTTACATTCTTGCTACAATGGCAAAACAAGTGTTTTATGTAGATGATCCCAAAGCAGGTGGTAGTTGGAAAGTAGTTCATAAAGTTGATCATCGAAATATATACGATATACCACAGATGGAGATCGATGCAGAAGGGGATAATGTATACGATGACGTTGCTTACCAAGAGTATACATCTGATATGCCTAATGTGCATGGTGATAGAAATTATGATGTTATTCAAGCACTTCTTACCGTATAAGACGTTCCTCCTATTTTGATTGACCCGGAAATCATTACTCAACAATCAACAATAAAGAATTCAAATGGAGGAAGAGGAAGAAAAGGAGGAGGAGGGGGACTGGGAGGGGGAGGGAGAAAGGGAAGGAGAAAGGGAGGAGGAGGAGAGGAGGAGGAGGAGGAGGAGGAGGAGGAGGAGGAAGAAGACGAAGAAGAAGAAGAAGAATTTAACGATGATGAGGATGATTGAGTTGATGAAGAATGAATGACTGGGACAGCTAGATATGTAAACATTTATATTATTACTTTAAGACCACTTGTTTCTTATAGGTACTTTATTTCATGATTATGTACTGATATATTTTACTAATATACATATGTGCTAATTACTTATTTTTTTGATAGATGAATCAGCTTAAGAAGAGAACACGCAGTACTGGTGCACTTCTTACTCCAGCTACAAAGATGCCTCGCCAAACAGATACCCCTTTACCTTCATTTCCTCAAACATCAAAGGCAAACACCATATCTACTAATAAGTTCATAGCCCCACTTTCTTTGAATCGAAATAAACAAGTGAACAGGTGCATGGCTCCTTTGCCTCATTTTCCTCAAACTCCAAAGGCATCTCATGTTTCTCAACGAACTGTTACTCGATCAGCTGCTGCAACAGTTAAGAATACACATAGGGAAACTATATCAACTAATCCGCCTTCCTCACGTGCTCAATGGGATCCTTTCAGTAAGATTCCAAATAAGCCACTTTCACAGCCTACAAGCGTTGTGCATCATCAGCATAACTGTGATAGAAATGAATCAGGTAGGGTTTATTTGTTAGCCATAACATCTTTTATTTTATACTTTCTTTTCTTTTAATTAATGATAATTAACTATCACGTTTACTTGATATGTTATCTGATCAGCTGATACTACTGCTCCTATCTCTGAAGCTACAACATGTTTATCTAAGGTAAGGGCTCAATGTAGTCCTCACAATGATAATCCAAAATATCCACATTCACAATCAATGAGTGCTGTACGTCGTCATCAAAGTCGTGAAAAAAGCATATCATCAGGTGAGTATTAAATTTAGTGATGATTCAATTTATCTAAACAATAATGTGATTGGGATTATTAACGAAGAACTCGATTGTAATTATATAGATAGACCATAAATTAGAAAATCTGACATGTCAACCCAACATCGAAGAATACTTCATTATATTACTTTTCTTAATACAGAAATAGTTATTAGATGAATTTTACTTGCAAACATAATAATAATGGTAATAATAATAAGTTTTGCAAGAATGATGAGGTGTGTATTCTTTCTGTAAATGACATTGGCAGGTCCTTTAGGAGTGAATGGCTTGCACGAGATGGAAGAAAATCATGTAAATGAACTAGATGATGAAACAGAGCATGAGAGCGGTAGTGTATATATATATATATATATATATATATATATATATATATATATATATATATATATATATATATTAGCTAATATATGTAACTTTAAATATAATTCTTTTTAATTTTTTTGTTTTATGTTCTGGAGACTTGCAACGGACCAAAGATGATAAGAATACTCGAGGGCCTTGTAAACAAGTTAAGACATCTTACATTGTGCGAACTACGAAACGGAAAATTCAAGTTTCTCTCAATAGAGTAACTAGAAGAGCTACAGACCCTAAGGTACACAGTTTATTGGCTCATGATGTCAGAGCCATCGTTAGGTCCCATTGTCCAATGAATACAGGCTACTGGTCAACTATTCCTCTCACTCAAAAGACAGACCTAATGGATGAGATCACTGTAAGTATTTACAAGCTAAATATTATCCTGATATGACACAACAATATACAAGTACTCTTCTGCGATGTAGTTTTATGATTTTATCATTCTTCTTGAAATATTACAGAAATTCAAGTAATTGTTTAATTTTGTATTGTTTGACCTGTATTATTATTAGGTTAATTATGAGCTTGATCTGGAAGAGTCAGAAATGAAAGAATATATTGAAAGACTCTTCAATGGGAGGTATAGGGAGTTTAAAGGCGAGCTGAGTTCGTATTATAAGTCATGTGAAACGCATACATTTGCATTGGCTAATATGCCTAAAGAGATGGATGATAGAGATGTGGACCAATGACGTGATTTATGTAACCATTTCAACTCTGATAAGTTCAAGGTACTTTCCTAATCAAACACATCTACGTGACCACAAATTTATGTTTTTAAATTTCTTATCTAAGATATTTTAATATATCTAGTAAACTTGATAAAATTTAAACCACATGTTTAAGTATTGTTTAAGAGAAACAATAATTTCATTCAAAAGAAGAAATAATTTAGTATTAACTTGTGCTACTGTTGTATTGCACCTTTTGCAGAATTCTTCATCATCTAACACAATAAATCGTTCAAAAAAGCAGCATAATCATCGCACCGGTTCACGTCCTCTCTCATATATAGTTGGGGAAATGGCTGCGGTAAATTATTGTCTTGTACTTACAAAACGCTTAAACCAATATTTGTATAATTATAACTTGATTTTTTGAGCAGGATGGCTCATGGTTTCCAGAAATTGATGCTTTCGAGTACACTTATGGGGGAAAGGACAACTCCTGGCCTGATAGCACTGCAAAAGCACAACATGTAAAAAATACTTTTACTGCTCATTTTCTTCCTTTAATTTTAATCCATATAAGAGTTATATATTTTTTAGGATTAAATTTCACTTTTTATTTCATTTATGTCGTATGATTCTTCTATACCTTACAACCTAGTTTTTATGTTGAATAACAATTTAAGATATTCACAGATTGTCATATAATAATTTAAGAAAACTTTCTTTATGATAATAAATGTGAAAATGAATTCTAGCATTAGGGATTCCTATTCCAGGGGATTAATGTGATTGTCAAAACACTTTTAGATTTCTTTTGAGAAATTTTCATGATTTTATCTTAGGACATAAGGCGCGTTTAAGAAAGAGTTAAATAAATTGTATGGCATCTTATCTTATGAAACTATGACATTGTTGAATGTATACCTTTGTTCCCTTTTTCTTCATTCAATTATGATTTCTAAAGGTGGTGTCATGTTGAAATTAAATATGTTCATCATTTAAACAATGAGATTACTACTGGCCGGTAGTGTACATATAATATACTATCTATATAGTAAAACAAAGGTCTTGATGTTATATGTTATCTATAGTATATAATTTCTATTTTTACTCTTACAATCAGTCTTATTGTTTACTGTTATAGGATGAAATGGTTGCTAAAAGTAATGACTACCTTAAGGGAAAGGCAAAAGAGCAACAACTCCCCGATGACACTCCTTTGGAAGAGATACGTGTGGATGATGAAGATGTTGGGTTAAATATTATGACATCTGTTCTTGGTACAATACCAGGACGTCGCCTTCGTGGTATGGGAGATGGCCGTCTTCGTGAAGTTGGTCAATCTTCTACCAAAATCCGGCAATTGTCAGATGAGTTGGAACGTGAACGTGCAGCTCGAAAAGCTTCTCATATGGCTCGAATCGAGGCAGAGGAGATGATGCAAAGAAAATTGAAGAAAGTTGAGTGTAACTTCAATAGTACTTTGATGTCTTGGCATAACTCTTTGGAAAAATTATGCAATCAAGTTCCTGGTATTGTTCTTCCCTCATTTGTACCGGTTTCAATAGATGATGGCAGTGAAGATGAGGATGATACTTTTGATAATGAAGGAGAGTTTGACGAGGCAAATTGTGGAGCTGATTAGAGATTATGATATGACAATTATTTGTTTTCAAATACTTTATTTTGTTTTTCTTATTTTATCATAGGGATAAGGGTTAGTTTGGTCCTCGAAGTTGCAAAAAAGGTGTCAAATAAGTCCTTATATAGAAGATTCTGTTCGGACGTGCCATTTGAGGTGGCTCCCAGTAGAATTTTTTGATGAAATTTTTTGAGCATTTTATTCATTAAGTCTAGTTTACTCATACTAAATTTCAGATTAAAATTCAATCGGGAAGACATTCAAATGAATTCTTGAAGATAACTGTGCCGTTAAAAGCGCTGTTATCTTCAAGAATTCATTTGAATGTCTTCCCGATTGAATTTTTAGCTGAAATTTGGTATGAGTAAACTAGACTTAATGAATAAGATGCTCAAAAAAATTTATCACAAAATTCCACCGGGAGCCACCTCAAATGGCACGTCCAGACAGAATCTTCTATATAAGGACTTATTTGACGCCTTTTTTGCAACTTCGAGGACCAAACTGACCCTTTACTCTTTTATCATATGATATGTAAGATATTATCTTTCAGCATTTCCCTTTGATATTATGCAAACCATCATTTACTACGATAATCAAGTTTAATCTACAAATACTCGTATTACTTATTCAATGTTCTGTTGAGACAAGTATTTAATTTGTCACCACAAGCAAGTTTTACATATAGTTTTATACACTCTTGTGTTGAAAAGTGTCTTCTCCCTATAAATATCTCATCCTATATATAATTAATATTTGCATAAAAGTATTATATCCATATGTTCACCTTTTCCCACGAAATTAGTGTAGTGGCTAAACAATTCTTCTACATACAAATGTATACAAATAGTGATTTGCGTTAAAATATTTATGGCTACAAATTAGAACTTGTGTGGAATGCATTGTCTCAATAAAAGTAATTTGTATGTAAAGGATATGTAGGGCTAGGTTTTAGCCTACAAAGACATAAACTTTGTGTTAAGAACTCTTTCCCCACACTCTTTGCCCTACAAATCACCCCACAAATATTTTTTGTCTCTAAAACTTTTTCCCTACAAAATCAAACCTTTCCTGACAAAATTACTTTGTAGCAAAAGGGGCTAAATCTTATATATATAGCTCCCGGCACCACTAGAGATGACAATGGGGCATATTGGGAATGATTATACATATAATGGTACCTGCCGCATTGGGTAACATTCCCGCCTTGTAACCTTCCCATTACCTAGTGGCCGAGTAATTTTTATTCAAACAAAACTGCTCCAAGTCTAACGGGTATAACCATGGGTAACGCCTTTATTAAATGAGTCATTGATATTTTAATATAATATAAAATTAATATTTTAAAATGAAAAATTAGCATCGCCTAGATGACTCTAGATGTCAGAGGCCACTTAAAAGTTTCGTATATCTACAACACTAGAAACAACACAACCTAAACTAATTTGAACCTAAAATACTTAAATTGAAAAATAATTAATCATGAAACAAATCCAGTAATAATCAAACAAAACTACTAAAATCTCTTATAATCTGTCATTCACACGGTATAGTTAGTATATCCATTATTCATACATATACAGTGAAAAGAGAAAAATCTCATCTTTTATTGATTGTGGGACAAATAATAGGAACATTGCAATAAAAATATAACTAATAGTAAACGGGGAGGGTAATGGGGCGGGCATGTAGAAAACCATAAACGCCCCATTACCCGTAAAAAATGGGTATTCTCTGCCCCGCACTAATTACCCAATCAATGTGATTTTCCCTATTTTGATCAAAGTGGTTTGGTCCGGATATCCACAAGATCGATCATAATTGTCATCCTCTGGGCATCACCAGCTCCTATCACCGGAAACAAAATGCCAACATGTGTCAGAAATGCAATCTTGATGGCAGTTTTCGAGAAAAATTTGATATTTTCACGAATAAAAATGTCATCTTTATGGCATTTTCAAACAAAGATGACAGTTTTTACTCAAAATGACATTTTTTCTCCTATCAGAGGTAACATTATCTGTTGGGCAGTGGCCGGGACTGTGGGAAAGGAGTCCATATTTTTATATTTTATAAGGTGTTTTATCTATTTTTTATTTATTTTAAAGTATTTTTTTTAAAAAGTATTTTTTTGTTTTTATTATTTTTTCTTATTTTTAAAAAGTATTTTAGATTTTTATTTATTTATATGATTTTTTGTATAAGTTAATTTTTTTGTATTTATTACAAATTAAAAAATAATTATCCTATTAAGTTATGGTAAGGGTAGAATCGGAAGATAGTGTATACTTTTGTCCTATTTGAGAAAGATAAATAACATTGTCTTATTTATTTATGCATTTAGGGATTAGTTTAGTCCTATTTAGGGCTATTATCTCTAAAAGAAACTGATTATAATTACTTCAATTTTTTAATGAAAAGACCATATTAACTAAATCAGACTAGAGTTGACTAAAACAAATCATACAACACTATAATAGATATTACTAACATAAACCATATAAGATCAGAATAGTTTTAAACAATAATATCAGACAATATTGGACTTGAATATTGTTTAATTACACATATATACTTCATCAATTCTTTTTTAGTTGCGACATTTTCATTTTCACGCTTGTCAACACACAACTTTGATTGTCCTTATATTTAATTCTTTATTTAAAACAAAAATTAAAAATCGGATAATGAAAATTCGTAATTCTCATACATTAATAAATAAAACGTATTCAAAAGAAACCGAGGATAATATATTGTATAAAAGCTGTCCATATATAATATATTGCTTCAATTCAAGAGCAACATAGGTACAATAGTTATGAAGTATTATTCCATTCTATCTAAGGTTGTTTGTACAATATCTCCCACCGTCCCCTTCCAAAAATGTTGGTTACAACAAAGTTAAGCACATGGGAATTAAATGGCCGCAAAAACAAGAATTTCATTAATAGCGAGTAAATAACTGCTAGCTTCACTACCTCCAAAACCAAAATGGGGTTATTTCGTCGGCATCGTGCACAAAAAACTCCCTCGCGTTCTTAAATTAGATATGTATATCCGAACAACAAAAGTTTACTTTTGGTAATATTATTAAGAATGCTAAGGATTGCTAACCAAGTAAAATAGTGATCGAAGTTACTAAGTTACTATATCATATTTACTTCTCTTGGGGGGTGTATATATAATTATAATTTTATAACACGCTAATGATCATCAGTCATCCTCAACTCCGTTTCTTAGATAATAATACGGAGTAATGGCCAAACATCAACTTTGAACTATCTTTTTTATGTGTACTTAAATGTGACAAATGAAATGTATAAGATCAATTTTAACTCTAGGATCTAGATTATATTCTCCACCTCGCTTTGGCAGCCAGGTAAGGTGTTTGGCTAATACGGCCACATGATCCAATTTTGCCAGCCAAGATCTCTCTCATCTTTCTGTTGATGTTGTCGTTGGATTACGCAAGATACCTCTGCCGTGCGATAGATGATCCAAATCCGTATTCTAATACCACAATGAATCTACTAATGTAGACTTTATAGTTTCAAAATGTTATGTAGTCAGTTTATTTATATATATGAGTCGGTATGGAACAAATACTTCAACCAAGGAGTGGTTTTTTTTTTTTTGACGGTTCAAGGAGTGTTTTGTTAGATTTAACTTTTCTACTTCATTCCATTAGGTAGATATTAACGTTGCGGGTTCCATCTGAAGTGGTATCCAATCGTGGCCTGGTACTTTTGTCCTAATTAAGCACCATATATCATGATTGCCCAAATTTAATACTTCCTCCCACACTTTGACTTCACACAAATTAAAAAAATAAATTTGACTTTATTATGGAGTGCATTGTTTGGACACTGTTTAACACTTTTAGGCACTGTTTTGCATTGTTGTGCACGGTTTGGTGTAGATTTGTTTACTAAAATGGAAGTGTGAACTTAAATAAGGGAAATCTCGAAAAAGAAAATGAGAACTCTAATAGGGACCGTAGGTAGTAAACATTCTTTTGAACCTCAAATTTTGACAACCAAATTGTATTTTTCTGCTCGTGGAGAGTTCAGGTTTTTAGATTTGGTGATTGTAAATTTGTAATGTCTATATACGCATAATGCTTTTGTTTCTCACCAATCACGATTGAAGACCTAACATGATACATTATAGTGAATTGTTGTTATGTACGTAAGGAGTGAAGACACGTAATAATTACGTAATAAATAAACTTTTCACAAACATCGTCGTGGTCTTCAGCTGGCCGCGCCAAGCTTTTGATAGGTCCCATGTGGGCATGGTCAGCAATACCGTGACACTGGGAAATGCACTCTTGGGAAATATCATAACATAAAAAAAATTATTCTCTTATACTCCGAGTAATATTTAAAATCTCATAAATATGACATATTATTTGTGATTCACCAAAAATACATATAGCATTGTTGCACTGTTGCGACCACCCATGAACTGACTTTAGTTATACTCCCTCCGTCCCGAAAACAACTTCCCACTTTTCTTAAATGGATGTACCAAAATTAACTTCACACTTCAATACTTTCGTTATTTGGCAAATTATCTACATAAAAAAAGTGATAAACAGTGTCAAACAATGTTTAAACAGTGCCAAACAGTGTTTAAACAGTGCAAAACAGTGCATTCTACAGTAAAGTCAAATTTATTTCCTAAAAGTGTGTGAAAGTCCAACCGGGAAGTTGTTTTCGGGACGGAGGGAGTACAAAAGAATTAGGGAAACCATTAATTATATTGTTTATTAATTATACTAAATGTGCATATGTAATATTTAGTCGTGTTTAAGGAAAACAAAACATGTGATCTTATTTTTGGAAGATGACTATGTTAGTATTAGAATGAGCAATTTCCTGATTTTCCTCCCAAAAGAATATCTGAATCGTTATGATTATTTCTACTAAAATCTAAAATACGTAATGATAAAATGAAATGACAAAGTAAGATCTTTAATTAACATCTGATTTATCTTAATCGCACACACATTGATATATATATATATATATACTCCTTCCTCTGTTAATAATATTCATCTTTAACTTTCATAGTCAATATTAAACTTAGTTACGCACGTTAGGACGTACCATAATGGCGTAATTTGCAATTTGAGTCTTATAACTTTTGACTGTTTTCATTTTTAGTCTCGTAACTTTAATCACTTAGCTTGCAAGTTGTCTTATAAATAATAAATCGTTGTGATTTAGAAGCTGTTCTCTTGGTCTGATCTAAATGTAGTTGATCCCCACACAAGTATACTTTTGACACAAAAATCCCATGCGAGCAACATCTTTTCCAATATTTTTTTTGCCAGAAAGTGTACTTTTACGTGCAAATCTCTTAAATCGCAAACATACACTTCGTATTAGTTACAGGATCAAACTCGCGAGCGAATAACGTTACAGGCTAATAATCAAAATAGATTAAAGTAATGGGACTAAAATTTCCTAAACAAATTAATGACAAATGCATCGATTGATCCTACATAAGTCTGCATACTTAACGAAAATATATGTAAAGAACGTTCTAATTAAGAGGTAGCAATTCAATTAGCAAGGATTTAAGAATGCAGCTGGTAAATGCAGTTGAAAGGCAAATCAAGGAGTGTACATCATCGATAATTATGAACTTACGCACAACTAGTTGAAATGTAGCGAGAAGTGGCGGTGCAAGCCGCCCATTTAATTCTTCAATTCCCCCAAATATGTACTCGATCTATATAAATCCCTCCGTCAATTCTTTTCCTCTCATATCGATCAGTCAAACTAACCTAGCTATACACAATGTTTGGAAAAAGTAACCGCCACGGCGACGTCCGGCTGACCGGCTCCTCATTAGCCGCCATTCTCATTGCTGCGGTGGTGGCCGCCGCCGTATCTGCGCCGGGGGCGGAGGCTGCTCGGGCCTTCTTTGTGTTTGGCGACTCGCTGGTGGACAATGGGAACAACAACTACCTGGCGACCTCCGCCAGGGCTGACTCTCCGCCGTACGGCATTGACTATCCCACTCACCGTCCCACCGGCCGCTTTTCCAACGGCCGCAATATCCCTGATTTTATCAGTAAGTACTTTCAAGTAGGGCGGCACAAAAATAACCCGAACCCGCATAACCCGCCCGATCCAACCTTACCCGACCCTATTTAATCGGGTATTTGATTTTTAAAAATATTCATGGGTAGGGTTGCGGAATTAAAATCTTAAACCCGATAGTACCCGACCCGGCCGAAGTTCATATTACTATTATTATGCTAAAACGTTTTCTTGGATAATTTCAATTTAAGATCAATGTGCTCTATCTAGGACTTTATGATATTAGAATTATAATTAAACATTTATCATTTTAACTCGGTGATTATTATATATTTACGTTCCTTCTAAATGAACTTCCTTTACGGAAGGATGTTTTAATACTATTGCCTAATGTTTTTGCTTACAAAAGATACGAGTACTTGTAATTGTTTGTATGTCTTGGAAACAAGTTAATCGAGTTTTACATTGGTTACATTAATTTCCCAAATGAAAGACGCAACCCGAAGTAATTTTTTACCCCAATACCCGACCCTACCCGACCCGTTCATGCATGGTTTACCAACTAATTTTGGGTACCGCGGGTTGGTTAATAACCAACCCGAACAAATCGGGTAGGCCCGAAAAATACAGCAAACCCGACCCAACTCGCCCGATGTGCAACCCTACTTTCAAGCCATAATAAAGGAGTGTTTGAGGTTGATTAAAAAAAGCGCTTTTCAGCTTTTGGCTTAAAAAAAGTTGAAAAGAGTGTTTTCAAATGATAGCTTCTACTTAAATTAATCACTTAAAAGCTAAAAGCTTGAAGCAGGTAGAAGGGTGCTTTAAACTGCTTCTCACTTTTTCTATTACACAAAAAGTACTTATTTTACCAAACACTACTAACTTTTACTTTTTCAGAATCATTTTTTCTCAAACACTACCAACTTTTACTATTAATCATTTTTTCCAAAATCACTTTTAAAAATCACTTTTTTAAAGTTGAAGCAATCGCAAAGACTCCCTAAGTCTAATTATATTCTTACCGTACCGCCAAGATACGATAATGTGCCACGTAGAAAATAAATTGGACCAATGAGCATTCTAGTAGATATTGTACTTGACTTAGAGTTCCTCAACGCTCACCATGTAACCGCCGGAAGTTGGAACCTTTTATTCTTTAGGGATGTGGAACTCATTCTACGGAGTACTTCTCCTTCTTTTTTAAAGCAGAAATAGAATCAGAATCAGTTTTCAGAAATCGATCACCATCACCTTCTAAAAAAACTGATTTTATGAGTAAATTAGAGGACCAGAATCACTTTTGCACTTTCACCCAAACATTCTAGCTTCTGCTTCTGCTCCCTGAAGGAGCAGAAACAGTTTTAAGAATCAGATCCAAACACCCCCTTACACTATTAAGATACTATAGGCTACCTCGACTATATTCTTGTTTGGTAATAATGAAATCAGTTAAATTTTGTAAAGTTGATGAAATCTTTAGTTGAGGTGGTGGAATTGGCAAAGTATGCTAAAATGTTGTACTGACTGAGGATGTTTTCTTTTGGACTGTTTTCAGTCCCAGACCAGACCAGACCAGACTTAAACAGACCAGACCAGACCAGACCAGACTTAAACAGACCAGACCAGACCAGACCAGACTTAAACAGACCAGACCAGACCAGACCAGACTTAAACAGACCAGACCAGACCAGACCAGACTTCCGTAGTTATAAAATACACAGAGACCAGACGTTTACCAGACCAGACCAGACCAGTTCAGACCAGACCAGACCAGACCAGACTTAAACAGACCAGACCAGACCAGACCAGACCAGACTTAAACAGACCAGACCAGACCAGCAAATTTCAGTCCAAAAGAAAACATCCTGAGTAGGCAAAGTGTGCTGAATTGTGAATGAATTATATTTCTCCGTATAATATACTCCCTCCTTCCGTCCCAAAAAATTCTTTCTAGTTTGACTTGGATCGGAGTTTAAGAAAGTGGGAATAAAGTGGAAATGTGTGGTTGTAGTTGTGTAAGAAAAAGGTGAAATGAATGTGAGCCACACAAATAATCAAAAAGGTGAAGTTGGAAGAATTTTCTGGGACGTCCCAAAAAGGAAAGTTGGTAGAATTTTCTGGAACGGAGGGAGTATTACATTGATAAAATTAAGAAAAAGTATACCGCGAAAATAGCTTAACTGTTCATCTACAATAATTTCAACTAATTTAACTAAAAAAAATAATTCTAATCTTATACGAAGTATATTTTGATTATTACGCAAGCCAGGACGTGAAATCAAAACTTGAATGTTTTATAGAAAAAGTTTGTTGATAAGACCCATAAGCACAAACAAATGTTACCAAAATGTGTCTCAATAATATATGTATATACGCAGTATATGTTATTTTTTAAAAAATATTACTGTATAAATTACGTCTCTTGCAAAAAATCATATGAATTTTTATTTTGCCTATTCAATGTAATGCGAAGTATATCAATTGTTAATATGTTGATCATCTCAAGTATTGGCAAAATTCAAGTTCGATCTTGTAAGTTACAAGTATATAGAGGGAAACTTTTATAGTTGTATCCTTTTTATAGAACTAGACCAAGCTTAAACATATACTCCTTTCGTCCCGAATTGAATTGGAAACTTTGACTGACACAAGGATTAAAGAATGACAGTAAATGATGCTTGTTTTTTACACTTTTGTCCATCTTCCGATCTTAAAAGTAGATATCTTTATGTTAATGTAAAAAAGTAAAAGTAAGGTAAATTTGCCACTTTATTTTTATTTACATACCTAAAATAAAAAGTGGAAAATCATTTTGGGACAACCACAATAGGAAATTTTGCAAATCAAATTGGGACGGAGGGAATATCAAACAAGATCGGGTAAGACTCGGACAATGTAAAATACACGTAAAAATATATATCTAGAAAATAAAGTTACGCTTAAAAGACCAAAATCTTGTTCAATTTAAACATTCGTTCATCTTTTTCTCGTATTATATTTTGACTTTAATATATACAGGCGAAGCTATAGGTTCGGAGCCGACTTTGGCTTACTTGGACCCCGCACTAACTGGCGAAAAGTTATTGGTTGGTGCAAATTTTGCTTCTGCTGGTATCGGAATTCTCAACGACACCGGCATTCAGTTTGTAAGTAAATAAAATTGTTTTATTTTCAAGCTCTTATTCTTTTTAAATGAAATTGGAAGGACTCGTAATTTTAAGTGAGAGTAAAAGGCTAGGGAGCACTCAAATTTTTAGGGGGTGTCCGTCGGTTTGGTTTTGGCGGTTTCGGTTTTAGTCGGTTTCGGTTTTTAGTCGGTCGGTTTTGATCGGTTTCGGTTTTTAGTCGGGCGGTTTTAGCGAGAATTGGACCGCAAAAATTGAGTCAATTTTGGTCAATTTGTATCGTTTTCTATCGATTTTAGCCATTTTTGCCAAATTATTTTCATTTGACCGGTTTTTAAGTCAAATTTATGAACCGTAAACCGAATAACCGATAAATTAGTCACTTTCGGTTGGTTTCGGTTTTATCGGTTCGGTTTTGGTCAGTTTCGGTTTTGGTCGGTTTCGATTTTTGTCGGTCGGTTTCGGTCGGTTTGGCGGTCGGTTTCGGTTTTTCGGTTTTTTTTGTTCACCCGTACAAATTTTAACCATTCATGAAAACGTGATCATATACTCCGTATTAAATGAATTGACCATGTCAACTCCTGATTATTGCACAAATGGCGAATAGTTTTAAATTGTACTCAATTTGAGTGAGGTAGATTCTATGGTACCCAAAAGGTACCGTACCTTTGTCCACATGGACCAATCAGAATGTTGCAGTTGAATTATTTAAATCTAAATTAAAATTGATATACTTATGTGGACCAATCAAGTGAATGATGGGTACGGTACCACATTTTTTAAATGAGTACCGGAGTTTTCACCAGTGAGTGAGGGTAGATCACATAGCATTAGAAATATCCTTATACAATGTATTTTCATATCATTGAGACCCAAATGAAATTCAATTTTTTAATAAGTACCTATAAATATTTTGTTAAGATATGATATTCCAACCTAAAAAGCCAACCTATAGGAGAAGTATCTCAGATCTTAATACAACACTTTATTACCTCACAATTTTTCGGTCTGATATTTCAAAAAATTTATATCTGCCTATCAAATAATGAAACATAAATTCCTTGTACATTCTTATCCGATCCCAACGATTAGATGATTCATATCCTTAGGCGTATGCATGTTTTTCTGAACCATGTGTTTCATTTTGTGTTTTGAGTCTCTAAATTGTGTTTATTCATTTAGAAAATATTCAATTAGTTGTTATTCATTTACAAATACTCTGTATTCTCAGATGTCATCTTGCTCACTATTTACCCGATTGACCTTAGCAAACATTTCAACTTGTGACAAATTAAAGACAATTTTAAGTTTATTCTTTTGCGAGTTAAATAATACTTCGTACTCCGTACTCCTTATATAGTTAACATACATACGTACCTGTTTGATTGGCAGGTAAACATAATAAGGATAGCACAACAAATCCAATATTTTGAGCAATATCAACAACGATTGAGCAACTTGATAGGGGCGGAACAGGCACAAAGCCGCGTAAACAAGGCACTTGTCCTCATCACTCTTGGTGGTAATGACTTCGTCAACAACTACTTCTTGGTCCCCGTTAGCGCCCGAAGACTCCAGTTCACTATTCCAAACTATTGTCGTTACCTCATCTCCGAATACCGAAAAATCTTATTGGTACGCTTTCTTATAAGCTCATAACTCATAAGGGTGATCAAGTTGGTGGAAGAATTAAAGTAGTAATTCAGACCCTACATGTTCAATTACTCCAGTCAACCTCATGTAATTTTGGTGGTTTGGTGAAATATAAGTATAGGAAATTACGAATCAGTTCAATATATAGGCTAATGTGTAAATAACGTCCAAGTATATTACTCTGAGGGAACTACTATTTACATTTCCAAAAGAATTAGATCATTAGCCAACATTATTGTCAAAACTTTACGTCTTTAGTAATGGGGTCAATTTAAAATAACTTGTTTGATTCTCATCATATGATCAGAGGCTATACGATTTGGGAGCAAGAAGGGCGTTGGTGACAGGTACAGGTCCGTTGGGTTGTGTTCCAGCAGAGCTAGCCCAGAGAGGGCGGAACGGTGAATGTTCAGATGAACTCCAAGAATCCGCTGCCATTTTTAATCCCCTTCTCATCGAAATGATTCAAAGTATCAATCAAGAACTCGGCTCCACCGTCTTTGTCGCGGTCAATGCTGTCCAGATGCAGAACGATTTCATCCACAATCCTCAGGCTTATGGTATGTATATTCTCAGGGTCAACTTGATAAAAAATAAGTAAAAAGTTAGTGTAGTTGTAACATTTCATCCGAGAAGTTAGAACTTCAATTGGTTTTAAGGAGGTCAAAACTTCAATTGGTTTTAAGGAAGTATAATATACCAACATAATTATGTTTTGGATACTGTGGCATTGACTATTTGAGTTAACTCACCCATCAAACATCAAATTCAAAAAAATTGATTAAATCAGATTAAACAAAGAAAATAAAAATGTATTGAGATCAGAACTACGGTCAAACAAAATTAAACAAGACTATGATGATAAAAGAAAGTGCATGTTAAACAATCACCAAATCATAAAAGTCCAAACCTCACGTAAACAAACAAGTTCAAACCATATGACTAAAGGAAACATATACTTTGGAAACATTCTAATCAAACTAGTTAGTAAACTTTAGTCCAAATAATCAAATACTTATTCTTTTATTCTAATGATGGTTTTGATGGATCTAGGTTTTACGACGTCAAAGATAGCATGTTGTGGACAAGGGCCATTTAATGGGATTGGACTTTGTACACCTGCTTCGAATTTGTGCTCAGATAGAGATGCTTATGCATTTTGGGATGCCTTTCATCCATCAGAGAAGGCAAATGCGATCATTGTGAGGGGTATTTTGACAGGCACAGATAAATACATGATACCGATGAACTTGAGTACCATTATGGCAATTGATTCATTTCATGTGTAGTATGGTCCCCTCGCATGCACTCCGCCCTTCCAATTTAGCTTCAGATATATTATATGTGTATATTTTCCATCATGCTTCTATAATATGTTGACTACAATATATTTCTATTGTTCCCCGTTGTGGATGGATTAAGACTCCTGTAACATTAAGAGAAAAAAGTGTACAACGCATAGGTTTAGAGTTCTATGTCTTGTCATGTGTGATTATTAACAACATACATTTGCAATTATGCCTCTTATGGCAATCAATCGTATATATATTCGTAAATGTTGGTCTTTTTCAACATTGATGCGGTAAATTCCATATTATTTCAATCTTCATTTCATGCATACAATTTGACTTTGGGATATATTATTGTTTTCATGTCATTCTTAAAATTTGAGAACTTTAAGCTCACCAATGGACGAGGGGCTCTCCCAATGACACCTCATTGACAACCTTGGAAACTTCTCCGGTCAAAGCCTATACCTCGGTTGTAACTTGTATTCAGAGGAGGTGCACCTCCAATAGTAGCCTACAACCTCTTTGACAACATTAGAAAGAAAGCATATCCACGCCTAGTTTGTCACCCGCCCATGCATGGACGAGAGCCTCTCCCCATATATAGTCGAGGTTTCCTGCACAACATCAATTGAAGGCACTTTGTCCCCCCTCTAGACGACTCTTATGTAGAACTTGGAGCACATACTCAGGTCTATACCAACTGTTCTAAATACCGGACTAGTCGGATCGATTAATCGATCTAGTTGGCCTAGTCAGCCCTAACTATAGAGCACTAATCGACCTAGTCAGCCAAAGGTCGTCCTAGGCGGCCACCTAGGCGCTCCTCAATCGCCCGACTAGAGCCTAGCGAGTTTTAGAACAATGGGCATGTCTTAGGTCATTAATACAGACTAATGGATCGATTGATGATTCCTACTTAAGCTACAGATATATACTATGTAATTAATTAATGTTATCTAAAGAACATTTTAAATAACATCAATTAGTATAGATGTTGAGATAAATCCAACACGAAACAGTAATAAATGTATAAAATGTAGAAATAAACGTATCCACAACCTATTTTGACATGCAAACCTGAAAAGGTAAAAAACCACGACACTTTTTGGACTGATGTTCAAGCCACCCTCATTCTCATTAGGTTTTCCTCACCATTAATGAAGTCATAAGCTATCTAGATAGAAGAAGGATGAAAGTAGAAAAGAAGCCCCCCTCAAGTAAGAGGGAGAGCCTCTTATTTGTAGAGAACGGGGATCTGAAATGGGCCCAACGGGCATAATCTATCCAAATGGTCCAAAACGGGCCCAACGAGCCTCATGGGCTTCACAATGTAGGATTCACGTGCGGGTAGTATGTTGAGCTCCTAAACAGCAGTGTCAGGGATAATATATCCCAACAATAGATTTTACAATGCAAGTAAATGCAGTTAAATGGCATACCAGATCAAGTATTAAGCCTATCTAGCTCATCGATTTATATATTTAAGGTCTCAAGCAGGTCTGACTAATCAAAAGTTTCTCAAAAGAGATTATGGTGACTTTTATACTCTTTAAATTATAGTGACTACCACCCAATGATCATGAAGAAATGACCCCATTAACCAACTATCGGAGAGTGATCACCGCTGCCGAATAGTGACCATTGCCATCAGTGACAACCTCGGCAGTTATAGAGACTCTTCTACTGGTAGTGCTCGTAAATTCTAGAAGTGAGAGTGACAATAACACCATGCTCTTCGCCTAGTCGATCGTAAAGAAGATGATTTGGAATCGGAGGAGAAGAAGATATAGGAAGAAAACCATCATCGATGAAACAGGATATGTCATTGTCGTCGGTCTCACCATCATTTTCAGAGTCTCATCGTCAGGATTTCTTTTCCAGGATATGTTGTCCCTTGCCATAGCCAAAGAGACATATTTGTTAGCAATCGTCCATTGCACATTGCACAAGTAGGTGTGACTGCGATGGAGGTGGTTGGGGTATTATAGACCGATGGCTGTTGAAAGTTCTCTTCAGATCCATGTTTTTAGAAGATTAGGTGGGCACTCTAATGAGTTCTCGCTAAACCGATGCGTAGAACAAGAGACAAGAGTAGGTAAATTTTAGGGGTACTTTAGACATTTGATAATATTTAATTCTCTCATTTTTCTAGCTAGTTATTGTCTTACAAACATTGGATAAATACTTCTAACACTACAAGAAGAAGGTATGGTTCTTTACTTTAGTTCAATTCTTATTACATCCTCTCATCTTTTGGTCTTCTACCGTTCCTAACTTCTAAAAGACTTCCCATTAGTACCCAATTCAATTAACAATGAAGAGGTTTTGACATAAGCTTTAAAAGAGATTGTTCTTTTCACAATGAATTGAAGGTCATGGATACTACCATATCTGTAATTTTATGGGTAACTAATTAACAAACTTGTTCGTTCTGACTTGTGCTATGTAGTATTTGGTGCAACTATTGAGCAAGTTGGGTGAGAAGATGATATGTGAAAGCACGTTGGTTTTGTTTTTGTTCTTGTAGTTTGGGACCTAGATGATTGATAATCTGTATTTTCCACTATGTATATATGTTGTTACTTTTAATTAGTTTTTACTATGTATTGTTGTACTAATTGCCCATTTACGATGCAATCATTTATTTTTCTAGTTTAAGTTAATTATCAACTTTAGATTAATATGAGCAATCATCACTCAACATTACCAAAAGATCAAGCAAGAAAGCTTTTACAAAGAGATTGGAAGGTGTGAGGAAAAAAAGAATTAATAAAAAAGTCCTGATTTGATCACATACCCGACCGGGTAATGACAATAATCGGTTGGGTATGACTTGACCCGAAAATCAAACAAGATCAACAAAACAATTTAACGTGCAAGAACATGGAGAACTATGTATTTCCTTGATACGTTGTTGGGTATACTTGCATAATTGGTTGAGTATAACCTTATTTCTGAAGCTTCCGGGCTACTTCGTAGCATACCCGTGAGGGTGCCCTATATACCTGATTGGGTAATCAATCTTGCAACCCCCAATCACCTATGAATACACTATTTTCCTTCTCATCTGGACATTTCTTCTTCCATATACTTAATCTTGTGTTAAATCTTAAAGTTGTGAGTTATTTTTTTAAAGTTATTTCCTTAAATATTAATTCTTTCCTTAGTCTATCTCTATATTAGTCTTGGGGTGTTGCTAAGTGATGATTAGTTAACGCTTTGACATTAATTAGAGAAAAGGGTCAAACAAGGCCTTCTACTATTATGAAATCATCACATAAGGTCATGTACTCAATAAAGTGTCATATAAATACATCTACTTATAAAAACAATCGGATGAGTCCTAATGACTCGTTGACAACCTCTTAATCCTGATTTTAGTTTACGTGTCAATTTTTTTTACTTGTATTTCAACCAATCTTAGGTAAATTTTCGACGTGTGCCGTATAATCTATTATAAAAAGATGGTTTCATGAACACTAAAATCGGGATTAGGAGGTTGTAATTAGGTCGTTAGGACTTGTTTGATTGTTTTTTTTACAAGTATACGCATTTCTATGACACTTTATTGAGTACATGGTCTTATGTGACGATTTCATAATAATAGAAAACCTTATTTGACCCTTTTCTCCATTATTTACTACTAAAAGCGATCAATGAACGAACGGCTAATCATTGATGATTTCACATGTAAGTTACTTCGAGTTATTAATGCATAGTCTCATGGTTAGTAATCTTAAGAGGAATTAATTATGTTGGTTAAACCGAAACCGTTTTGTTGAGCTTATCAATACCAATTGATTTTATCAAGGAGTTAAAAGATCAAAGACTACTATCAAGTGGTATATGGTGACATTCTATACTTGACTAATAGTATGAGTACATTGATAATGAACAATCTCGTTATATATAAATACCCTCGATGAATTGGTGATACTCCCACAATTGAGTATTCGAAAGGGGACAAGTTAAAGATATAATTGTGATCAACAAACATTTTCACAAATAGAAAATAGCAATGCCAAGTCTTTTATTTAAATCATATAAATTGTTCATCTTAGTATCTAATTATTCTCAAATTAAACAATATTAAATTCCCCTTTTTGTTACTATTTCATAAACAAATTCTACTTCATTAGCCTACGCATTAGTGTTAGTTTTGAATTTATTTGAGACATCACATAACTAGTGCCATCAATGATCTTGGAAAACATAAATATCATCAACTAATCAAACAATTGTTTTGATTTCATCAACTAATCAAACAATTGCTTTGATTTCAGTTACGCTTTTATTTACATTGATATTTAGCAAGTAACATGACCGTTATAATATTATTAGTTGGGAAAATTATGATTACCCCTTATAGTTTGATCATAATTATTAGTTCAACCTCATATTTTTAAAAGTCAACTATTTACCCCATCACCTACGATTAATGTTGTAATCTCCCACTTCCATCAACATTTTCATCAAATGCCTATTTCTTTGACTAAAATACTCTTGTTTAGGGATTATTTGTTAAATCCTCTCATCTACGTATTTTTTTCAAATTAGGGGGTCCGGTTCAGTCTAGTATTTTACCGAACTCGTACCCATATCGTGACTATTGAAACGGTTCGGTTCGATCTTAGACCTAAAACCGTTCAGTACGGTTCTATTTTCAAACGGGACGGTACGATATCATACTAATACCAAACAATCTCACTTTTCCAAGTGTTCAAGTGGAAGTTAAAGTTTAGCCATCCTATGAAAAACCACATAATAATTTACCGATTTTCATACTCCGTATTACATAATTATTAAACTTGTGATAAACTATAGTAGTGCAAATCTTAACAGGTCATGACATTGTTTAGATCCCTTTCAAGTCTCGTTTTTCGATCCAGTATCATATCGGTCTGGTTTGACAACATGCCGGTTCAGTATTTTTGCCCACCCCTACTTCAAATACACAAGCGAGTGAATTTTCCTTTGATGTACGAATGGGACTGCGTCTGGGAATTGAAATTGGAGCAGAAAAGAAGAAAAACGGAAAGGCACAAAACACTTTCAAGTGTGCTGCAATGATGCTTGGGAAAACATTAATTTTTTGTTCGAATACTTTTGGAGTAAGCATGTGAAACTTTTAATTGATGTACTCCTATTTTATACCACTCCTTAGTTTAGTTTAGTAGATAAGGACATTTTTGGGAATTCCACTTACAATTAACGGTCCAAGCAACTTAAATTTAATAAAAGGGGGATATTCTAACTTTAATAAAAGCTTAGGGGGTAAATAATTCAGTTCTAAAAATAAAAGGTTGATTTAATAACTATCACCTAACCTCAGGGGGTAATCATTATTTTCCCTTATTAGTTTGCACCCATTTCAATTCTAGACTAGACTAGATGAGAACAAATCATATTAGGGTTAAGCAAATTAAATCAGACCAAATCCGACTTAAACAAGACCAGATCAGACTGAATCAGAACAGATCATATCAGGGTTAAACGAATCAGATCAAACCAGACTTGAACAAGATCAAACCAAACTTTGACAGTTATAATCAGGCCAAATAAAACCAGATCCGACTAGAAAATATCTTATATGTTGATATATTTTGGAATGAGTGTTAGTGTTGGAAAAACAATTCTGTTTAGTACATGATCGAAATCAAGTATATGAACTTTATATTCTCGTTCAATCATTCCCTTAAGACTTGTAGACTGTTGCACGGAAACGCAAAAATGATGAGGAAACGGGAAACGGGAAACGTCAACTTTTGCTCAAAAAACGCTTATTTGGAGATGTTCCAAAAAGTTTCCGAGAGTTTCCGAAACGGGAAACATACTCTTTCCCAAGAGTTACCGTGCTACATAGCTTGTAGAGGCATAATTATAACTATCTCCCTCCCTTTTTATTTAGTCATCTTTGACTTTTTCAATCAAAGGTGATAAACTTTGATCCATTATTTTGAGTAATACGTTTATGTGAAACTTAATAATTTTATACTTTTATAATAGTATTTTTAACGAAGAACATTTTCATATAATGCTCATATTATCAATATTACCGTGTATAAATATATAATCAGTCAAAGTTGAACAACTATGACTTAATTGAAAAATAGTGTTTGGCTAAATAAAAAAGGGAGGGAGGGAGTATATAAATTTCATAAAATTATCTCCCTCCGTATTTTAAAGTTCCTTACACTTTCCATTTTGAGATGTATTTAAAAGTTCCATACATTTTCCCTTTTTGGTAAGTTTTTCCTTTAAAAATACTCAAATATCCTTACTTTTTCTACTTTTTATCCTCTCTTTTCTACTTTTTCACCTCCTCTCCTACTTTTTCTATACTATTCATTACCCTACTATTCTCCCTTAAATCTTGTGTCATAACATAATGTATGGATCTTTTAAATATGTAGGGAGTATAATTTATACTTTTACAAAAATATACTCCGTACTACGTACAAAGTATTAATAAAATATACACAGGTTTTTTCAAATATATTACTAAAATAAAACTTATTTATAAAAATAAGAATAATGTTACTTATTTGAAATGAAATCAATATAGCTAGTAAATACTTCGTATCAGACTCCGATCTCCAACTAAAATATTAGGTCACCCCATTCAAATCTCGGTGTGTACCGTAAGTCATTAATTAATATAGAATAATGGATCGATAGATGAATCCTTGCTACATAAGCTCCAAATAATTAATTAATGTTAAATTAATGTTAACTAAAGAACATTTGAAATAAAAGTCCGCAATTAGTATAGATTTAAGAATGCAGGTAAATGCAGTTAAAGGGCATATCAAATTAAGTACTGGACATATCATACTGAATATCATCATCGATGAAATGTGTGAAGTGGCGGTGCAAGGCGCCCATTTAATTCCTTACATGCATGCATTATGCATATATATATATATACTTCGTATATATTATGTATCCCACCGTCACTTTTGTTTCATTTCAATTCCTCTTATACCAATTTCTAAGGAAGCAAAAAAAGGTAATTAAAACAACTCAAATTGCTAATCTAGACAAAATACTTCGTATAATGTGTCATAGAGGTAGTCATCACGGTAACGTTCGGTTGACCGGGTCCTCATTCGCCGCCGTTGTCATTGCTGCCGCGGTCGTGGCTGCCGCCGTATCTACGCCAGGGGCGGAGGCTGCTCGGGCCTTCTTTGTGTTTGGTGACTCGTTGGTGGACAATGGAAACAACAACTACCTGGCGACCTCCGCCAGGGCCGACTCTCCGCCGTACGGCATTGACTATCCCACTCACCGTCCCACCGGCCGCTTTTCTAACGGACGCAATATCCCTGATTTTATCAGTAAGTAGTACTCTCATGCTCACGTGTCAGATAATAACACGTCACACGTAACTTATGTCATCACATATAGTGGCATAGCGCAAATTATATCGTGCAACCGGCGCACCATGAGGATGGTGCGCCCGGTTGCAAAACGACGGAGTATTGAGGCATGGTTTCTTGATTTTTTATCCTTTTGTTTTTAAAAAATGGTAATAACTTTTTTATTTTTGATCCGATTTTTATAAAATTTATATCAACATTTTTTATTTTTCATGATCTTTCAAATGAGACCAATATTGCTTATGTAACTTTAAGAAATTATCAAACTATTATATTAATGTGTATTGGATTATAAGGAAAACCAAACTAAATTTAATAGAGAAAAATAATTGTGTAAATCACAAATTATATTAAAATTGTGTATATAAAAAATTTATTGTGTTAGGTATTTATACATGTGAGTTACATATTTTTATATGTGAAGTTACATATTTTTACACGTAAAGTTACATATTTCTACACGCGAGTTACATATATATACACATGAGTTGCATTTGACTTGCCTGAACGCGAGTTACATATATTTACACGTAGAGTTACATATTTTTACACGTAAAGTTACATATTTATACACGCGAGTTACATATTTATACACACGAGTTGCATTTGACCTGTCTGAACGCGAGTTACATATTTTTTTTTAAGTAAAGTTACATATTTTTACACGTAGAGTTACATATTTATACACACGAGTTGCATTTGGCCTGACTGGACGTGAGTTACATATTTCTACACGTAAAATTACATATTTTACATAGGTTAAAATTACATAGGCAATATTGGTCTCATTTGAAAGATCATGAAAAATAAAAAATGTTGGTATAAATTTTATAAAAATCGGATCAAAAATAAAAAGGTTACTACCATTTTTAAAAAAAAGAGAAATAAAGAATAAAGATCCGGTGCTTGCCAAATACGCTGCTTGCCAAAAACTATATGCCGGTATACGGTGCTCACCGTATACCGGTCATACGGTATAACAACTGGTGGCATAGCTAGCAGCCTAGCACGCCGACATTACTTAAGTGGGCCAGTACATGATTTTTTTAATAAACTTTTACTTGAGGTATGTAATTTTTTAATAATTTCAACATTTCGACTTTTATTCAAATCAGGTATTATATACATAGTCCGTCTCGAATTGTCTTAGAGAACCAACATTTTATGAAATCGCTAAATTGTTTTTGAAAACTCCGGTACCCATTTAAAAAATGGGGGTACCGTATCTATCATGGATTTGATTGGTCCAAATCATTATATGCTTTTTAATTTAGATTTAAATAATTCAACTGCATCATTCTTATTGGTCCATTTGGACAAAGGTACGGTACATTAGGGGTACCGTAGAATCTACCTTCTATTTATTATCACTTCAAATCTTAATATGGAGTATTTAAAATTACTTAATCGGAAACTTCATTAAAATCTCTATAAAATTGCAAAATTCAAATTAAAAATTAGTGAGGAATTGATATCCTAATTATGTGAATAAGATAAAGTATTTGACCCAAAAATTCAAATTCGCAACATAGTTTGGGGCAGAGAGAATATTTTATTATATATCTCACACTGAATCGATCATTATTAGAAAAAGAACGTACCGTAGCTACATTAACCTGATTGTTCCAATAATCATTATATCGTTCATTTACGCTTAATTACAGTATTTTAATTATTTCATTTGAATAAAGCATATATTGGGTACAATAAATTTACCATATATATTTTATTTGTTGATATAAATTGACACAATATGCACATACATGCAGGTGAAGCTATAGGTTCGGAGCCGACTTTGGCTTACTTGGACCCGGAGCTAACGGGTGAAAAGCTATTAGTTGGTGCAAATTTTGCTTCGGCTGGCGTCGGAATTCTCAACGACACCGGCATTCAGTTCGTAAGCATAAAAGTCAACTATTAAAACGTAGTATTAATAATTGTTATAAGTTTTTAACGATACCGATTTTATTTTTTATTTAAAAGAACTTCAATTGACTCATTATAAAAAGCTTGAGTGTTTCAAGGACAGCGAAGTAGCGTATACTCCCTCGGTTCTTTTTTAAATGCAACATTGAACTTTTTACACTATTCACGTATTCTACTTTACTCTATTTTATTTATTAATGTATTACAAATTAAATTAAAAAAATATTGTTAAATTCTTCTCATTTCAAATGTTCAAAATCTAATTTTTTTGATTTTTTTACTAATAAAGAATGAAAGATATGAATGGTCAAACTTGTGCGTTGGCAAACGTGAAAAGTGAAGTATTGCATTTAAAAAAGAACGGAGAAAATACTTAGTAAGATTAAATTGACCAAGTTTATAACACCCATTTCTTGTCTAAATACATTGTGAATCAATATTGGAGCTCTTTCCATGAAATAAACAAAATGATTGTCGTGTTTCATGGTGACTCCGCATTAGACCTTGAATTGTAATATAATCAATATTGTAAGTATTTTTTTACTATGTTGGGTTGGGTGTGGGAGCATTTGGGGTGGACAATTCCACCTTTTGAGTTGGGTATGGTCCCATTTTTCCTTGTGCATTACTCACTAGGCTACGTGATAGAGGGTAAAGATACATTTTAGCTTTTTAGCATAATAGCATGACATATATTATTTTTATAAATCAAAAAGGAATTGTGCTACTCCGAGTAAAACATAACCAAATTTCTAAAATATGACTAAGTAATACTTCTTCCTCAAATACGGAGTAGAATTTATTTAGCTTTATTGAAAATATAAACAAGTACAAAATGTTTCCTAAGTAGGAGCACTCTAGTCAAATTTTCGAAGAAACACCACCGAAAAAACACGGGATTGACATAAATTTTGGTATGGATTATATAAAATCCGTGCCAAAAACACTTGATCGAGCTATTTGGCACGGAAAACATTTTGGATCGAGCTATTTCGTGCAAAATTTCATGTCAATCCAGTGTTTTTTTAGTTAAAACAATAGATACTCTTTTTTAGAAAACTTGTTACTCCGTAGGGGCGGACCCAGGAAATTCATATGGGGGGTTCAAAATATTTTTTGAGGGTGAAAATAATTTTTTGAGGGGGCAAAAACTTTTTTTCTTATATATACACACTAAAAATAAATTTTGTTGGAGGAGCGGTAACCCTCTGGAGCTGTACTATGGTTCGCTACTTCCTATATTTTATTACTACGTTGTAGCTAGTGTGTCACTAGTGTGTAACTGTTTTCTTACCGGTGGTTTTATTCCCAAAAGTGGAGGAGTAAGTAGTACCATTGTCTTTGCCCGATTTTGCCTCTTTTTTTTGGAAAGACTCATTCCATTTTCATCCCATTTTGTTTATTCCTTTTTTACATTTTGGATCGCGCGTCCTAAAATGTTCATTTCATTTAGTGGCTCGATCACAATTCACGACTAATATCACAAGTACAATTTTGTTTGTCCTTAATATTTGGGCCAAAATGGTTGTTTTAAAGTAAATGGTATTTATCATGCACATAAATGTACGAAAAAGATTGGCTATCAGAACGATGCCCCTACGGAAATTGAATATTAACTTGTTTTGTCTTCTAAGAGCATACAGATTTTGGTCATAATACATTTTATCTTCTTATCAGTGCTAGTCAAATCAAACAGCATGCATTGAATAACATTGGACACATTATTTATGAAAGAAATAGTAGGGTAATGAATAGTGTAGAAAAAATAGGAGAGATTATGTAAAAATATGAAAAAGAAGATAAAAGTAGAAAAAGTAAGGGTAGTTGAGTATTTTTAAAGAAAAAATTTATCAAAAAAGGAAAGTGTAGCAAACTTTTAAATATATTCCAAAAAGGAAAGTATAACAAACTTTAAAATACAGAGGGAGGATTACTTTTTTGTCTGCAAATATTATTCAAAGATAAAATAGATATGTTTTTGTATGTGACAAACTAGAGCGGCTCTTAAATCGGTCACTTGTATAAATTTCCTTTTGAACCAATTTTGAAAACATAGCATTTTTTAAACAATCAAGTCTCCTACTCACAAACATCCATAAATCCTTTCTAGTAGTAGAGGATTTATATAATTTGTACTCACAAAGTGTTAGATGTAAGGATGTTTTCTTTTGGACTGTTTTCAGTTCCAGACCAGACCAGATCAGACCAGACTTAAACAGATCAGATCAGACTTAAACAGACTAGACCAGACTTAAACAGACCAAACCAGACCAGGCTTGGATAGTTATAAAATACACAAAGACCAGACGTTTACCAGACCAGACCAGACCAGATCAGTTCAGACCAGACCAGACCAGACTTAAACTGACCAGACCAGACCAGACCAGCATATTGCAGTCCAAAAGAAAACATCCTAAGACTGTATAGGCCTAAGTTGATGGATACCCTACTTATGTCACGTCTCCTACTCTCCTTGTCAAATTTAACACACATTATGATTTTCACACTCACATTAAAATGTATATATGGCAACTAAATTGAATTGAAAGTTACACTTGAACCAATTTATAGTTTCTTATTGATTATTGATCATGATTATATACAATTACTGCCCCAAGCAAACATGTAAACTGCCCCGTGACAAAGAAAATTGTTCGATAATTCAGAAACGTACTGAATGTTACATAATTTTGTTATGAAGAGACTTTACATGGTTGGCAGGTAAACATAATAAGGATAGCACAACAAATTCAATATTTTGAGCAATATCAACAACGGTTGAGCAATTTGATAGGGGCAGAACAGGCACAAAACCGCATAAACAAGGCACTAGTGCTTATCACTCTTGGCGGTAATGACTTCGTCAACAACTACTTCTTAGTCCCTATTAGCGCTCGAAGTCTCCAGTTCACTATCCCAAAGTATTGCCGTTACCTCATCTCCGAATATCAAAAAGTTTTGTTGGTATGTTTTCTAATAGTACTACTCCATATTAATAATAAAGTTTAAAATATAGACTTCGCAATGGTCGAGCTGTTGAAATTAGTGTTAAAGGCTGGTGTGGTTTAAAACAGGGGATAACAAGAGCACTGGGCCAAACAACGATACTACAATGAATATTTTTTAATAAATATTTACATGAAATTTGTTTACACTAAAAATTGAGCCTTTTTGTAATTTGGGGTGAGATAGGACCCTCGGCTCCGGCTTCGCAAGTGCACGAAATTGAGAGGCTTTTTTCACCAAATGAAATTCAGAGGCTAATGTAAAAAGGACGCCCTTGTTTCCGTACATAGAGGTTATTAATTTTGACTACTACATCAAGGATAGCATGCAGTTCGTAAAAGCTCTTGACCAGACCAGATCAGACCAGAACAGACCAGATTAGATCAGACCAGACTTGATTTCCGTAGTTATAAAATACACAGAGACCAGACGTTTACCAGACCAAACCAGACCAGACCAAACCAGATCAGACCAGACCAGACTAGCAAATTTCAATCCAAAAGAAAACATCCTAAAACTACAAACTAGTTAGAAGCCCCAAATTAAAATTGGTTTCACTATTCTACAAAAAATAGATCGATATTAATATTACCAAACTTGTCATAAAGTATTTGTCCAACACCGGAAAGTTATAAAACAATAAAACACTATATAAGGCTTGGGCTACTCCACCTATCAGGTTAGACCTCTTAGGAAGGAACCTCGAGTCTTAACAAGGCCCAATAAGGTTTACCTTGGGGGATCAAACAAAAATAGTTTCTTCAATAAAAATTATTTAATCAACTATTGGGTTGTTGCCTCATCAGAGACTATATGAGTTGGGGGCAAGAAGGGTGTTGGTGACAGGGACAGGCCCGTTGGGTTGTGCTCCGGCAGAGCTAGCTCAGAGAGGGAGGAATGGTGAATGTGCAGATGAACTTCAAAAATCCGCCGCAGTTTTCAATCCCCTTCTCATCCAAATGATTCAAAGCCTCAATCAAGACTTGGGCTCCACCGCCTTCGTCACCGTCAATGCTGTCCAAATGCAGAACGACTTCATCCACAATCCTCAGGCTTTTGGTATGTACATGCTCTTTCTTTGATGTTGCTAAAAAGCTCACACGCCAAACACGTGCCCCCTCAGTTTCTCATAATTTTGTCAACTTTTTATATATATTATCTCACTAAAATTATCACTTTTCATTTTATATATAGATTTTGCGGTTCCTTTTCGTTCTCTCTCATTTGCACAGACCTTAATCACACAGTTGTTAATTTATTATTTTATATACATAATGCATGTCAATTTGACAAAGTTATTAGGGAGTGTGAGAGTATTTATGTATTAAGGTTGGGTAACTGTTTTTTTGTGAATATGTTTCTATATGAAATGGGTTAAAAGCAAGTAAAAAGTAACACTACTTATGAATTCATATTTTTATTTGTTAAACTTGTTAAACTTTAACTATGCGCCTTTAAATTATTTGTATTTTTCTTGTTGAACTTTGTTTTGCAACTTCTTATTTTTGATAAATTTGGAAATTATTCCCCGGTGCTTTCCCCGCCCCAGGTGGCCTCTTCGGCATTAAAAGAAAAGTAACACTAGTTTTGTCTTGTGATGTAACCATTACAAAGTTTCTTTTATGAAAATGAAAATTTCATTTTGGAAACACAAACAAAGAAAAGTGGGAATTTGAATTGTTTTTTAGGAGATACGTAGTGCATGTGTAGCAACTCTCTCCAATAAGTGATCATATGAACCATCATACTACTGCGTATATAAGGGTGCTTGGATCTGATTCTCAAAACTGATTCTGCTCCTTCAGGAAGCAGAAGCAGAAGCTGGAGTGTTTGGGTGAAATTTGAGAAACACTTCTGGTGCTCTAATTTATTCTCAGAATCAGTTTTTTTAGAAGCTAGGGGACACCAGCTTCTGAAAACTGATTCTGATTCTGCTTCTGCTTTCTGAAGCAGAATCAGAATCACTTCCAAACACCCCCTAAGTTTCACATACTAACTCTCTCCAATAAGTGATCATATGAACCATCATACTACGTATATAAGTTTCACATACTACTTCAATTGAGTCTCCCATGAAATTATTCAATCTATTCAGAACCTTTGTACGTGGGATATTTTTTAAAAAAGAAGGGAAAACTATCAAATAAGCCTCCTAACTTTTCAAAAAAATCAATTAAGCCCTCCAACTGAAAGTTCATCCAATTACACCCCTAAACTCATTTAAAAATGGCAAATCTTCTTTTTAGTCCGTATCCTATCAATTTCTCCAGTTAATTGGGTATGTGGTGAGTGAGGTGGCATTTTTTTTCTTTCCTTTTCTTTTTCTTTCCTTCGTGACCCCTTTTCTTCTTCCGCTTTCTTCCTTACGCTTCACCATCTCGGCAACTCTGCAAGACTGCAACTTCTTCCTTCTTTATCTTTTTCTTTCTCTATTTTCTTCTTCCACCTAGCTTTTTGCTAGTAGTTTCCAGACCTTCACACTCCTCCCTGCGCCTCTTTTCTACTGTTGACGAGGTCTACAGTCAAATTGAAGCTATGGATCTGGAGTGGTATGGGGGCTTCACAGAAGCATCTTCTCCTTACTTCGCGTTATAGCCAACTTGCTGACCCAGAAGCTTCGACAGAGCATCGTCTCCGACTTCCAATCCATCAAATCGAGGAAAAGAGATGACCGGCGTGCGATGTACCTGAGCATCTCCGACGACCTGGGTTTCTCTCAGATTCTGAGCGGTGTTGCGCCGGCGGAAGACTAATACTTTGCTTGGAAGAAGAAGAAAGAAGAAAGGGGGAGAAGAAAGATGGGTGGAAGGAGAAGAAAATGGAAGAAAACAAAGGGGTGAAGGGGATGTTCGATGGAATGGAAAGGACCTGTGGAATGAGAAAGAAGGTGGAGGTAAGGAAAAAAAAGAGAGGAAATAAAAAAAGAAAATGAAAAATTTGAAAACAGCCACATGTCTGGCCACGTGTACGTAAAAACTGGCAACCTATTCATCACCGGCCAAAACGAAAATTTGACATTTTTAACTGAGTTTGGGGGCTCGATTGGACAAACTTTTAGTAAAGGGACTTAATTGATTTTTTTGAAAAGTTGAGGGGCTTATTTGATAGTTTTTCCTAAAAAGAAAAATATTTATGGCAAACATTAAACTGAAAAAACTTATTTAAATCGGAAGAAGATTAGAACATATTTAAACAAAAACTACTTCAAATCAAATCATACTTTATATGATTGTAAAAATATAATGCATATAAATGTAGGCCAATCAGCAGATTATAAAAAGTTTAGACTTGACTTAAATACATAGTTCAAACCATATTAGACTTGAAAAGAAAAGAATATACCAATTCAAAACATTTCGATAAAACAAGTAAACTTTAGTGAAAGTAAACAAAATCTTGTTCTTTTATTATAATGACGGGTTGTGATGAAAACAGGTTTTACAGAGTCAAAGGTGGCGTGTTGTGGACAAGGCCCATATAATGGGATTGGACTTTGCACACTTGCATCAAATTTGTGCTCAAATAGAGATGCTTATGTATTTTGGGATCCCTTTCATCCTTCAGAAAAGGCAAATTGGGTGATTACTCAATCCATTTTGACAGGAAATCGATTCGTTTGATGTGTGATACCAGCCCTCTATATGCCCTTCGTGGTCCCGGCTTTCCAGTTTAGCTCCAAATGTATTACATGTGCATAAATCAATATGTGTCCATGCTTCTATAATATGTTAATTATAATACATTCCATTGTTTCCGATTATGCATTAATTAAACCTCAGGTGAGCTTCAAAGTAAAAAAAGTAAAAAAAAGTGTACAACGCATAGTTTTAGAATTTTACATCTTGGTGTTGTGATTGTTAGCAACATATATTTACATTGCTAAGAAAATAAATTATATATGCATATGTAAAATGACATCTAATTATGCAAATATACTTGTTTCATTCAACATTGATTTGATTATTTGAGTTATATGTTAATCTTTATTTGACGTGTACGATTTGATTTTGTGCATTGCTTTTTGTGTCATTGTTAAATACTTCTCATGTAGACTAAGAGCATCTTTAATGCAAGGCTGTCAACATTAACAAAAATATGACATATGTCAATATATTATTGCAGTGTTTAGCCATGTATGAAGAATGTCAAAACTCACGTTCCAACACATTGATAAAACAGCAAAATGCTCTCCAATGGGAAACTAAATAAAGCACCCAAATGTTCTCCACGTTGCAACTGATTGCACTAATGGAACATTTCGAATTCAATTAAAATAACGAATTGCTCTCCACGTTGCACAGTCAGCATGTAAACACCGCTGTTAAATGAAGACTACCATGTTAAAAATGTCAAAATAATTTTTTGACATATCAGCACAACGGATGACGTAACCCATTTTTGTAATGTCAACAGCCTCCCATTAAAGATGCTCTAAGCTTAAGGGCTACTCAAAGAAACTTATTGTCTAGCAATCTAAGTCTACACTTGCCAAATGAATTATTTAATCACATATATGTTCTTGAACAGTCAAAGTTTATATCTCGCCGTTGTAGTTTAAGTTATAAGACAAACCAATAATCTAGCATTTCGATTCACTATATATTATACTAATACTAGTTTTTACTCGCGCGATGCGCGATAAATTAAGTGCCCAATGTGCCAAATGGATATGTCCATTTAATTTAGGACAAGGATTACAAGTATCTATCAAGAGTTTAAAGTGGTTGAAGAGATAAGTATAAAGAACACGATAATAACATGTGTGTATATAAAGAGGAGGTAGGTTCTAATATAGAGATGTTTTCCATAAAAATGGATGGAATAGATAAATATATTGGGTTAGGAAAATATTTAAGAGTAAATGTGCGAATACTATATGTAAAGGTGCACATTCACCTCTTTAAAAAGTTACAAAATGATATTGACACTTCTTATTTCATTCTGAAGCGTGATGCACTTTTGTGTTAGGTAAATGCACCTTTTCTCCACTGTAATGCACATTTACGACTTTACTTGTAAAAAAAGTTCAGAATATTTTCATAACTACAATGATAAATCAGCCCATATTGATGTGCAACTGCATAATAAGACACAAAAGTATAGAAACATTTGGAGGGGAGTCCCACGGGGCGAGGGCTCTAGGCCAAACAAAATGGAAAAAAAATAGGCCTATGTTTAGTTTTTTATAACAACTGTGAGTGAGTAGGATGATTTTTTGGCACTAAACTAATAATTTTATGGGTGGATTTTTTTGAGTATGTTCTCTATAAAGTTTAGATAATGTCCATAAAATTTCAATTTAAAATACAATCTAGAAGTCAGTTAAATATATTATTGAAAAACACTACGTTTTTTATTCACCTTTCAATAACTGATTTAACCGACTTTCTGATTCAATTTTAAATCGAATTTTGTGAACATAGTCTAAACTTGATCAAAACGTGCTCACAAATTATCATTAAAAAGACAAAAGGTCAAATAAGTTCTTCTATTATTTTCAATCCGTCACTTAAGCCATTATACTAAAAAAGGTATCATATAAGTATGTCAACTCTTAAAATACAATCAACCAACTGATTTGACCTGCTATAGCAGGTTATTTTTGAAATTAAGTTAATTAAGAATATTGATAAATCTTACAAAAATTCATATAAATTTGAATAAATAATCTAATAATACAAAAATAGTATAAACGTAAAAATAGATTAAATGTTTAAAAAAATTAAAACAAAATAAAAAATAAAAAATAAAAAATATAAAAAATAAAAATTAAAGTTTAGAAACCTTTTCAATAGATGTAAAATATACAATTTTTTTCTAAAATAAAAAATATTGAATTTGTTATTCTAAAAAAATTCACAATTTTTGTGTATATTTCTTCAAATTTAACAATTTTTTAGAATTTTTAAATATAAAAAACATGCTATTACAGGTCAAAAATTGATGAAATTGTAAATTTGATCAATTTTGTATAGTAGACGTACTTAGATATTTTTTGTACATAAGTTCAAGTGACGGATTGGGAACAATAGAAGAGATTATTTGATCTTTTCCCATAAAAAAATCCACTTGATCAAAGATTATTTGAATAGTTTATTAATTCAGTTCATTTTAAAGAGAAGGTTCATAATAATAGATTTAAAATTCTTTGATAGAACTATTTAACAACAAATAGAAATATCTACACTCAATTAAGTAGTAGATAGAATATTCTAGCATAATATTTAGTTAAAATTATTCAATCATACTCAATTGTCAAATTTTTGTGATAACATCTTAATACTACGAGGATTATGTATATATACTCAATAAACAATAATGATTTTAGGACATACTCCGTACCATTTTACTAATGGAGATTTTAATTCAAATGAATTGGAATACTTTTTCTGAAGAGAGATTCAATGGCATTGGAATACTAAAGGTCCAAAAGCACATCATTTCCAAATTCCAATTACGATATATATTAAACTTCCGTTAATGATAAGCGTTACATGTTAACGGAGGTAAGCAAATGATAGTGGATGGTACAATGAGTATAACAAATTGTACAACTAAATGTAGCTTTAGTTTTACACCAACATTTTTTTCATACCTTAAATGCCCTAACCACCATTGGTCTCTATAAGATTTTAAGATGAGTTAATTTTACATTCATTGTTCATATATATCGAGTAAATTGAGCATTATATTATATACAATTGTTAAGACTTGAACTTTCATTCTATAAGGTTAGTTTGATAGGAGAAGAAGTCCATAATTGTATATACTGTAATTATTGTTTTAAAGCAAATTGGGTTTGGCAGTGTGGGACAATACTTTAACACGCCCCTACACTCCAAACCGAACAGGACAATATCAAGGTATATAAATGAAGTTCCACCCATAACACCTTGCCCCATAAGGCCCGAGGTAGTTACTCTTGAATATCATCTAGACATCTAGTACTGTCCTCAGAAACAAACACAAGCCTTTAACACTCACTTTGTTTTCACTAATGCGAGTCCTAAGAAACTTCCCAGGAGGTCACTCATCTCTACACTAGCCTACTCCAATGCAGGCAAGCTAACTTAGAGTTCTAAATGCATAAGCTCCCTTAAAAGGAGATGCACTTTTTTTATATCTATAGTACTATTGATGTAACACCGTCCCCAATTATATTTACTTTTGAGTAATTAATGTATGGAACCTTATGGAATGATTAATGAATTTACGAAGTTGTAAATTTTTATTAATTCTTTTGCGTGAATAGTAAATTTGCACGTGGGGCCCACACCGGGAGCGGGGGGCGCCCGCCCGGTATTCCCCGAGACCACATATTTTATTCGTATTGGTTGAGATAATATTTATATAGTGGTGGACATGTTAGTTGGGCCAAGGAAAGGGCACAATGTTGACTGATTGGTCAAACTAGGCCCAATTATCGGTATTGGTAATTTAACAGATAACAGCCCAAACTGAATTCCTGAGGCTTATAAATTAAAGTTGGGTAATGTAAATTCATTATAAATGTCATAATGATTAAGAACACATAATATATTTTATTTGACCCAATAAAATAAAATATATTTAAAACATTCCGAAAAATGCAGGTTTCGGGACCGATTGTACACTTCTGGACAAAAAGGCGTGACCTCCCACATGGGTGGGGGCCAACCCACGAAATTAGCAGCCAATGAGGGCTTATGGGCTTCAAAAATTGGCTGAAAGATTTTGAAGGGGTGGGGGAGACACCTATGAGTCTATGACATTCAAAGGGGTCCTCTCACTCATAATTTCCAAAAGTAACAAAAACAGAAGTACATCCCCTCATTCCTCACCTAATATTTCGGCCAGCACCAAGAAAGGATAGAGATAGAGCTCTGCATCTCCATACTCCATAGCCAAGAACAAGCTCAAGCAAGAAGGTCTAAGGAGGAAATCTGAAGAAGGAAAAAAGGGAGGAAAAGTGAGGTGTATTAAGGTAATGACATCATAATGATTTTCCCTTCATTTTTAATCACCATATGGATTATATAGCATATGAGTAACTCCTTTTATGGTTCTACATATTTACATAGGTAGATAGATGGGTTGGAGGGTGATTCATAGTCCAAGAACGGACTTGTAGTCAAAATTACCGTTTCGCCGGAAAATAACCTTTTAGAGGTTATTTGTATTAATATGGAGTTTATGATTATAAAACCTTGTTAGGAACTTGTTTAAGGTGTTTCAAGTGCTTTCACGAAGTTGAAAGAATCGCCAGAGTTGTCGCCGGAGTTTGTCAAAAGTCGCCGGAGTTCAACAAAGAGTGGTAGAACTTCATGGGGCTAATTCGAGGTGAGGATGAGCAACTATATTGCTTATAATTATTGTGTTAATTTCATAAGATTACCTAAATGAATTAAATGTATTTTGAATGGATTATTAATGATTAATAATGCCTAAATGGAATTATTATTGTTTATAAGTAAAGGATGCATAATATACAAATTTATGAATGAATGGTGTATAATGATGTGTTAAGAATATGATGGCACGATAGTTGTATTAACCATGAATTTTATTGTGATAAATATACCTTTACCTCATGTAAAGAAATCATGAAGGGATAAAAGTGATATTTTGATATTAAAGCTAAATTATACTTGGATGAAGAATTTAATTTGAAATAAACAAACTACTATGAATTAAGAACTTGGTTGTATTAAGGTCAAACGACTAGTATTGAAATACTAGTCGGGAATGTTATTTCGAATAATCTTGGAATAAATCCTAAGATATTGAACTGTGGCGAGTACACCCTAAGTAATCTTAAGGGATATTTTTAAGGTGGACTTTATGAACTCCAAGTTACATTAGAAGTAGGCCTTAAGGGCTGCTCAAAATGAATGGAGTCAAGGGCGTAGCTAGGATTGAAGGTTGGGCTCGGTCGGTACAAAGAATTTTTCAGATAATTTGTTTTCCACCTAAATTTTTACACTAAAAATACAAAGAATTTTCAAATTTGGGGCGGGCCGTGGCCCGGTTGGCCACCCCTCTACCTCCGCCCATGAATGGAGTCTAGGCTATGAGCCGAGCTCTAGCTTTATGTAGTATGACTATGAGCCGAGCTCTAGCTTTATGTAGTATGACTATGAGCCAAGCTTTAGCTTTATGTAGTATGACTATGAGTCGAGCTCTAGCTTTATGTGGTATGACTATGAGCCGAGCTCTAGCATGAAAGGTGTGTGACTAAGAGCAGGGCTCTAACGCGCGAAACGATATTAAATGAACGTGGGTTAATTATAATGTAATAACACCCTAGATTGAGGGTCTTAGAAGTTGAAACATCGATTATACTTAGTATAGTTGTCATTGTACTTTTCAAATGCTTCAAAGTACTGACCTCCCCTTCATGGGGGGCCACGTCTCAGTTTCAGGTGGAACTTGAAGGTTGCTACCATTGCTGTTGCTTCGTAAGGATTCAAGGAGAGAAGACATGGTTCGTGCTTCCTCTGTTTCTGTTTTAAAAACAATTATATTTAATGCTCATGGATATTGTCTTTTGAATAATGATTTTGAGGGCTTGCATGCCTAATTTGCCAAGTGTGGCTAAACACTTGTATTAAATGTTTCCGCTGTTTTAATGAATAATTTACATTATGTTTGTTTATGGATGTATAATATGGATGAGTTGGACTGCGGTTGTCTATTCGTACTGTACTGCGGGTTGTTGACATGCCCGGTGTTGGGAAAATGTGTTGAAATTGCATTAAATGGTAATTTTGGAGCAATTTTTTGAATGGTGTCCACTTCTGAATTGGGTCAGGTCAAAGTGGTTTCAGATTGTCCTTGCTTAGGGCTACAATTTGATATATTGTACGCTCAAAACGGATAACGGGTGAATGAGAAATTGATTCTCGAAGTTTCTAGTGTGTTATTTCCCACACCGGAAAACCCAAGGGATTTGCAACCCTTTATAAAGGGACTCCGCCCTTAAGGAGTCAAGATTCCTAAGGGTAAAGGCTCTCTCCACGTGCGCAAAGGGGGTGCAAATCAAATCCCGAAATCGGACATGAAAAACCGCGACTTGCGTGCGGGGGCGACCTGCGGACACGAATGTCGTCCAAAAATCTATCTCTCAAGAGATACGGTTTAATTTTTGTTTTCTTCCCGAAACCTACGGAACAGAACACCTCGTTAGTGTTCTGATGGCCTCGTGACAGAACCCCTCATGGGGTCTTCTGTTGGCTTCGGACAGAACACCTCGTACGGTGTTCGGTTGGGGGGTCTTCTGGTCGCTCAGCTGGACGTTCTGAACCGTTACAACGATACATGCCCAGCGTTCTTATCTTTTAATGCAGCGTTAAATGGACAGTTCATGGACAATTCAATGCCCAACGGACTGGTCATTGATGTCCAATGTTCAGGTCCATTAATTCACCATTTACACACAACAAATCCTCCTATATAATGACTGGCAGGTGGTTTACAAAAACACACGAACTTATACGATCTTACACGTTCTCACATACACTAGCTCACGTATTTCTTCGGCTAAAAACACCTCCAGCTACCTCTGAAAATTTCCTGAGTGTTCAGTCTTTGTTCTCGTTCGCTGGAACTTTTGTTTGCGTGCTCAAACACTAGTTCGTAGTCATCGTATTCTGGAAAACAATTGTTGCAACGTTCCTAGCACCGTGGGAGGCAACAAATACGTTTTAAGGACATCGTGCGTAGCACGAGCTTTGGCTAAATTCTACTCCATCTCATTTCTTGTTTTTCTTTAGTCATTTTAATTAATTTTCTGAGCTTTAGTCATTTCTTTGGGCGACCTGCGGACACGAATGTCGTCCAAAAATCTATCTCTCAAGAGATACGGTTTAATTTTTGTTTTCTTCCCGAAACCTACGAAATAGAACACCTCGTTGGTGTTCTGATGGCCTCGTGACAGAACCCCTCATGGGGTCTTCTGATGGCTTCAAACAGAACACCTCGTACGGTGTTCTGTTGGGGGGTCTTCTGGTCGCTCAGTTGGACATTCTAAACCGTTACAACGATAAATGCCCAGCGTTCTTATCTTTTAATGCAGCATTAAATGGACAGTTCATGGACAATTCAATGCCCAACGGACTGGTCATTGATGTCCAATGTTCAGGTCCATTAATTCACCATTTACACACAACAAATCCTCCTATATAATGACTGGCAGGTGGTTTACAAAAACACACGAACTTATACGATCTTACACGTTCTCACATACACTAGCTCACGTATTTCTTCGGCTAAAAACACCTCCAGCTACCTCTGAAAATTTCCTGAGTGTTCAGCCTTTGTTCTCGTTCGCTGGAACTTTTGTTTGCTGCTCAAACACTAGTTCGTAGTCATCGTATTCTGGGAAACAATTGTTGCAACGTTCCTAGCATCGTGCGAGGCAACAAATACGTTTTAAGGACACCGTGCGTAGCACGAGCTTTGGCTAAATTCCGCTCCATCTCATTTCTTGTTTTTCTTTAGTCATTTTAATTAATTTATTTTAATTAATTTTCTTTATTTTCCGAAACACACCCAACATCCGGAATGGGTCCGGGGCATGACAATTGATCCATTTAAATTAATCTCAAGTTTTACAATCACCCCATGTAACACCGGACCCGAATTTTACCCATAGATTTTTTTTCCATATAGTACAAAGTTAATGAAAGTAAATCAAGATTAAGAATAGTCTTGTTTAACAAGAAAGATAAAATTCTAGTCTTAAATTAATAAAAGATTATTAATCAGACGTGGGACCCACGTAGAGGAGTAGGTGTAGAACCACCTCCGAAAATGTTCACTTATAACGTTGGGTAAATTAGAGTTGACACCTTGATAAAAGGTGCGGTAAATTTATTTTTACTGATTAACATTTATCGGGTAGTAAAACTACACGTAGGACACACATCAGGAGCGGGGACCACTCGTGGTATTCAAATTGTATAAGATATTAATGTTGATCTAAATAACATTATTATTATAGTAGATATGGGTCGTAAACCCCAGTGATATAAAGAACGACAACTAGACGGCCAAGCGGGCCGGAGTCACTAATCGATAATTGTGCGTCCTTAATTATCGGACTGATAATAATTTGGAAGGCTAAGAATTAATAACATAAGAAATACTCCGTATAAATATTTTAAGAACCCAAAATAATGAGATGAATAATAATGAGTAACTTGACATATTGGAGGAAAGTACTTTTGGAGGACCCTACCTTGAAGATATTTTTGTACAAGGATAAACAGATAAGATTTTAAATGTTCATACATTTCGGACCACTTAAAAAGAAGTGTAACATTTTACTAAAGTGTCACAAAATATGAAACCACACATTAATTCATGCGAAATGACGAGTGAATTTTCGAGGCAATGCGTTTTCAGTTTTACTGTTACTTGAACAGTAAAATACACATTGGGCCCACGCATGGGTGGGGACCATATGATATTTACGGACCACATATTATATTCATCTTGGTCTAGATGATATTTATATGATGGCATAAATTAAAGTTGAGCCATGAAGTTGACGTTTCAATTAAACGAGGTCCCATTATCAGTATAAGTAATTAAACAGATAACAAGCCGAAATGAATTCCGATGATCATGAAATTAAAGTTGAGTAATATATATTCATTTTAGAGGCCAATATTAATTGGAAAAATGATATATATTCTATTTGACCCGATAAATAAAAATATAATTAAAACAGTATAGAAAATACAACTTTCGGAACCAAATGTACATTTTGGGACTTAAAGGGATGACCTCCCACATGAGTGGGGGCCACCCCACAACTTTGTACATCCAAATGAGCTTGAGAAGCTGCATAATAAGAGAGAGGGGGTGCATTTAGTCTCAAGTTGAAAGGTTGGGTGAGAGGGTGACTTGAGGTGGACCTCCCCTCACATTGATTGGCAAAGGAGACAAAGGAAGTCTCCTCACCTCTCCCCACTCCATTATTTCAGCCAGCACCATCAAGAGAGGGAGAAGAACCTCCAAACATACCTCCATAGACAAGAAAAACGAGCTCAAGCAAGGGCATGGTCCAAGGAAGAAGAAAAGTGAGGAAAAACCTTGATATATTAAGGTAATGATTTCATTAACATTTTTCATCCTTCATTTAACGTCATATGATTTTATAAATCATATGATAGACCCATATGATTGTTCTACATTCTTAGAGGTGTAGAATGAGGGATTAAGAGGTTAGTTTTAACCATGAACAGAGTTATGACCGGTGTAAGACCGGTTCGTCAGAAAATAACCTTTTAGAGGTTATTTGTGTTGATATGGATTTTGTAATGTTAAAATCTTGTTAGGAACTTGTCAAAGGTATTCCTAGATCTTCCACGAAGTTGGAAGATTCACCGGAGTTATCGCCGGAGTTCAACCGAGAAGAGTATAACGTGTTAAAGCTCATTCGAGGTGAGTGGACGACTACATGTCTTGTAATTCTTGGGTCAAACATGAGATTACCTAAATAAAATCATAATCATGATTTGAGAAATGATTAAATGAATTAAAATGCATGATTAGTCATGGTGAATATTTAATATGAAAGTATTATATGGTTAATGAATAAGAGATTAATTTGTGGATTAATCATGGATATATTATTGTCAAGTGTGTAAAAATGCGTACTTGGACTATGTATGAGACTAACTAGTATAATCTAGTATGTGAGTATGTATAAAAATGTTTAAAAGTGTTAAACATGTGATTAACCATATTGATTATAAATTAAGTGAAAGTTGCATGATTTAATAGTAAAGAATTACAAATATTATTGATGAAGAATAATCATGAATGATAATTTGGGAAAGGACTAAGGAAATTCAAGATGGTATTCTTGTGAAGGATTCAAGTATTAAATCATGCAAGTCACTAAAGTAAAATCTAGTTTATGAGAAATAAACTAGGGAATTATACAAAATATAATTAACTAATATAAATGTTTTTGTTGGCTCATATGAGAAATGACCAAAGTAACTAACATACTATTCTTGTGAAGAATTAAGAAATGCTCAAGTATGGATGCTACGAAGATGAACTAGATTATGAGAAATAAACTAGGGTAATATACAAAAATGATTAACTAGTATCAATGACTTAGTTAATAATTTTGTGAATATAATATTCTAATTGAATGATGAACCATGAGTGGCTCAATTTGTGAAGTGATTAAAAGTAAGTCAAGGTTATATCCTTTTTTAGATGCAAAGCAGAATTCTCATTCAAACCAATTGCATATCCATAAGGTGTTCAATTATTGAATGTAGCTTTTTGACAAACACTTTGTGGGCATAAAATGCATATAGTGTACAAGGAATTCGATGAATGAAGTGTGTGATGGGAAATTGAATTAACAGTGACCAGAACGAACGATTACGGTCCGTAGTAACCAAAATGAAAATAATAATAATTTAGTATGTACCTTGTTCATAGAGTAGCAGCAAGACCAAACAAGATGTGTGGAGTATCGGATAAGAATTGAAAGCGGATGTGCGAGCGTGAGAATGAAACATATACGGTTTATTTAAATCTTGAATGTTTTTTTGGGCGAGGGGAAGGGAAGTAACCGCCAGCACTTGTTCAGTGAAAGGTTGAAGGGAAGAGTTGAATTTGGCTTTAGAAATGTGACGGAAAAAGAGTTGGGAAGGTGACTCTTATTATATAAATAAGGACAGATATATATCATTTAATTGTGTTACTTTTATTTTGTGATATGTCAAATTTTAGTATTTCATTATATTTCAATGCTATTTTAATACAATAAACAAATGAAGTAAAAGAAAAGAAAACAAAAAATGAAATCCCAAAGAATTGCAGCAGGGCTGCGTTTCAAAATTCTGAAAACAAAAAAAGTACTACCTATAAAAAAAGTGCAGCCTAAAAACAAAAAAGAAAAAAAGGTAAGCAAATACAGAGTAAAATGGAAAAAAGAAAGAGAGGAGAAAGCTATTAACAGAGTAACAGCGGCATATTGATAAGGTATTAAGGTCAAGGCTGGATGTTACATTTAGATTGGTACTAACAGCGGCATAATGTTGTTTCAATTACTTTGAAAAGTAAAGCATCACTGTTTAGATTAGTCAAAAGAAAAGCAAAAAAAATAACAGTCCACAAAATAGTGTTTCACAGACGGAGGCATTGACGGAAATATGACTGGAGCTTCAGGGGTGACAAGAACACATACCCCTACTCTTACACTCCGGCGAACACTAAACCAAAATAAAGACTGAACAAGATTACAGCCCAAATCAGATTACTCAAAAAATGGCCTTCACAATGTCTGGATATCTCCACCCCCACCAAATCATCCCACAGGTAGCCAAGATCAAAGCATAACCATTGAAAGTGTTTATGTGCTGCTCATTCTTCCCAAGAAATTTCAGCATGACTTCAGTAGCACCATACAGAGCAAGTGCTACAGCCAGAGTGTTGGCACAAAATGACATCCCAACATCTAGCATCTTGATCTTTGAAACCAAAGGCTCTTCAACATTTATAGAGTGTTCCTTCTTCTCTATAGAAACATCAAGCCTAGGTCTTAAACAGAAAATGAGATTAAGAAAATGAAAGAAATGTTGGAAAATATTACATTTAAATGCCCTTGGATCATTTATATAATTTAATAAATATTGGGGACATTTATGTCTTACCATTAAGTTTGCCATATGACAGATTTGGTCTCTTTATTTATGTATAGTTAACATATGATGGGTATGTTTTAACATTAAATAATACATAAGGGGCCAATTGGTTTTCTATTTGATACAAGTTAAGAAACACCCGTTCGTTCATTCTTACGACTAAGAGGGAAGTACACGTTTCTTCTCAAAGGGTCTCAAGAACACCTATATGAAGAGACCTGAGGGAGATTGTTTAATCCATCGCAAATCCGCTTGTATCCTTAGAGAATCCAACGACATCATGGCTTCATCATCTTCGCCATCAAAGTTTGGTTTCTCCTCAATCGGTTAGTGTTCTTATTGTTTGATTATAATCCCTCCGTCCCAATTTGTTTTGCAAAGTCAACATTTTTCGGTCAACCAATAATAAAAGCCAATCCTCCCTATTGATAATTAATTCAATTTTTAATAAGTGAAATTTACATATTCATAAACTACATTAAAATCTCTTCAAAGTTGTAAACTCCATATTAGAATATAATTAAAAATTGAAATCTTAATCAAGCGAACAAAACGAAACTGTTTGACCAAGAAAAGTCAAATTTGCAAATCATTTTGGGACGGAGGTAGTATGAATTTTATCATGTTTAGTGAGACTAGATCCTTAATTGGGACTGAATTTATCTACATTTGGTATCAGAGCCATGTTAATTCTCACTTCTATTGATAAAATTTGTCGTTATCAATCTGCCATAACTGATTTCCAGCGGCCGTTCTTTTTTTTTTCCTTCTTTCTGCCAGGTTTGTAAACTGTTGTTACTGCTACTTGTAAACAACATGAATCCTCAATCATTATGTTATGTTGTTGTATAATTGCCGACACCCATACATAAATACGGAGTAATTGATTTTGTTAAAGTGATGTTTCTGAGAGTGTCTTAATTTCCGTATGCATTAGAGCCAAAATATGGCAGATTCCTTGTTGCTTGCTATTCGTCTATGCATTAAAATGGATTAAGTGTAGACTCCACAAAATATGTTTTGACATCCTCGATCAATGCGATACATTCATTATTTAGGCTTCTAAAACTGATTCGGAATAACTAATATTCAGTTTTTTTATGTCAATTTGGAAATCGTATGGATTTGTTCCTTTAAAATTCCTGTTTGTTTTCATCCAAAGTAAACACTCGTTTAAGGACTATCGAATTATTTTGGTTCCTTAATCAACGTGTGTGTGCTTTTCGTTTGTTTAAAATTGGACTAAGTCAATCTGTCTCTTTTTCACAATCTGAAACACAATAGTTTTGTGTTAAATCTGTCAAATTTCAGAATGAACCGTATACTGTTTTAGACGCAGTGTAACTCACTTGAAGTGTTTATATGCAAACTGCAATTTAATTATGAACATTTGTAAGCCATCAGTTTGTTATACACGTTAGTTGAAAGTATGGGGTTTTTCTTTCTTTCCGTTAATTTTCCAGAATTTGGAATACACTCATTGGAAACTTACAGATTCGATCATTTCCAAAATGCTTAAAGTAAGGTCTATGATTTAGGGCTAATATTACAGCAAATTCATATTTGCTTCCATATTCAAAGTTTTACTATGGATTATTAACTAATTATCTTAGTGTCAAATTCAATAATCGGCCCAACGGAAGATTATTGATTTTGACTATCTTAAACAATTATATGAGTTTTCTTTTAACAAACCCAAAGGTGTGTTATTTGATAACTTATGTAATGCAATTTAAGCATAAATGAATGTGTTATATTTCTGCCCAAAGGTGATATATGACATATTTGCAGCCTAATTTTAATATCATAATGTTTGATAGTTGGCATTAGCCAACGCAATGTTAGTTATTAAACACGATATGAATTTTCCTATTATTTGGTGTTGATAATAGGCTTATTTACTAATAGTTGACTTGCCTTATTGTATACCCTTATATGTTATAAATAGCTTCTCTTATTGCCTCTGTTAAACCTTTTATTTCAGCATCTACTGTTACCCCATACAATATGGGATAGAACCTCTAAATGGTACAAACTTTTCAACATGGAGAGAATCTGTAAAACTATCACTTGGCATGATGGACCTCCACCAAGCGCTAAGAATTGATCCACCAGATGTTCCTAACGTCGAACGCACTGTTGAGCAGAAGCGTTCTTATGAACAGTGGGAGAGGTCCGACCGAATGTGCCTAATGGTGATTAAGAATTCCATATCAGTAGCTATTCGCGGAGTGATTCCCGACTCTGAAAATGCGAAAACCTACCTAGAATATGTGGAAGAACAGTTTAAGGGAACCTCTAAAGCACATGCTAGTACCCTGATTCTCAAAATGTTGACTAATAAGTACGATGGAGTGAGTGGTATTCGTGAGCACATCATGATAATGTCTGATATGTCTAACAAGCTCAAAAGCATGGACATGGAGATCAGTGAAGGTTTTCTCGTTCATTTCATAATGACTTCTCTACCTGCGTCTTATGGTCCGTTCAAGTTCAGTTACAACACGCAGAAAGAGAAGTGGACAATGAGTGAGCTGATTGCTATGAGCGTTCAAGAAGAAGAGTGCCTAAAATTTGAAAAACCAAACGTTGCTCATTTCACGACCACAAACTCAAAGAAGAGGAAAGGCAACCGTCAAGGAGGAAAAGGTAACATTTCTTAGGTCCCAAAGATAGGTGCAAATGTGAGCTCTGGTCCCTACTGTAAGTTTTGTCGCTTCAATGGACATTACCAGAGAGAATGCCCTAAGTTTAAGGCATGGCTGACTAAGAAAGGTAATTTAACCACCTATGTAATTTATGAGTCATTGAACACATCAGTTCCCCTTAATACTTGGTGGATTGACTCTGGTTCAATGGTTCATGTTTCAAACACACTACAGGGATTCCATTCAATCCGGACATTGGGAAGAAAGCAAAGAGTGATTAAGGTGGGCAATGGAGAAGAATTAGAAGTGGAGGCCATTGGAACTATCTCATTAATTTTAGAGTGGCTTCATTCTTCATCTTCGTGATGCTCTTTATGCACCTAATATTACTCGTAATTTAGTGTCTGTATCGAAACTAAGTGTTGATGGCTTTAGATTTAATTTCGAATACAATAAAGTGACAATAAGCTTGAACATAAATGTAATAGGATTTGGTAGCATGGAGGGAAACCTCTATAAATTGTGCTTAGACACTAATTTTATGGAATCCCCATTGTCATTTAATATAACTGAAAACCCTTGCAAGAGAAAGAGAGAATTGGAATCATCGTCCAATTTGCGGCATCAAAGGTTGGGCCACATATCACGAGATCGAATGATAAGACTCGTGAAAGACGCCATTCTTCCAAATCTTGACTTCTCGTATTATGACAAATGTGTGAAGTGTTTGAAATGGAAATTATCTCAGAAAACTAAGCAAGGCGCCACACGAAGCACCTTTTTGTTAGAATTAATACACACCGATATTTGTGGACCTTTTTCCGATTCCATTAATGGTTATAACTCCTTTATTACTTTCATAGATGATTACTCACGCTATATGTACCTATATTTGATTAAGGAAAAATCTGAATCACTAGATATGTTCAAGGCTTATAAAGCCGAAGTTGAAAATCAACTTGATCGAAAGATCAAAGTAGTGAGATCGGATAGGGGTGGTGAGTTCTACGGTCGACACACTGATATTGGTCAAGCTCCCGGCTCTTTCCATGAAATTTGTAAAGATCACGGGATTATCAACCAATATACCATGCCTGGAACCCCTCAACAAAATGGGGTTGTCGAAAGGCGGAATAGGACTCTTATGGATATGGTCCGAAGTATGTTGGCTAACTCAAATCTTCCCCAATTCTTATGGACCGAGTCCCTTAAAACAGCAACCCACATATTGAATAGAGTACCATCTAAATTTGTCCTTAAGACTCCATATGAGTTATGGACGGGAAGGAAACCTAGCCTACGGTACCTAAAAGTGTGGGTTTGTCCGGCTAAAGCAAAAGTGTATAATCCTCAATTGAAGAAACTTGACATGAGAACCATTAGTTGTTCCTTCATTGGCTATCCCGAAAGATCTAAGGGATATAGGTTCTATTGCCCATCTCACACTACCTGAATTGTCGAGACTCGGCATGCTGAATTCCTTGAGAATACTAACATTAGTGGGTGTAATAGTGGTTCATACATTAATAATGAACTTCAAGAAGGTACTGGAATGAATCCACTTATTATACTACCCATTCCACCTAACTCACCACTTGAAGATCATAGTGAAAATTATACGTCTCATCATAATGATGCAACAAGTCAAGAGGCGAATGAAACTCCAATCAATGTTGAACCAACTCGAAAATCGGGCAAGTTGTGTTGCGTGAAAGTGGAAATCGCGCAGGAGCCCTTTTGCGCTAAACCTGTTCTTCTTACCTGGGAATTGCGCGAAATGCAGAATCGCTCAACTCTGGCTTAACCTGTACGCCAAATTTCTGGGTGCGATTTTTCACAGAGTGAATGCTTGCAAGCCTAGAAACACTTCCTTGTAAACATTTCCTACAAAAATGACAACAAAAACAGAACAGAAAATCGCTCAAGTGCAAAACTTCATCGATGAAGAATCGCACAAGAGTATTTTCCAGCCTTCAATTGATTGATCAGCTCTGGCTCTGATACCCGATGTTAGGTCCCTGTTTTCTATTCTACAATATGTATGGAAGAGTGATCAAATGAGGATGAAGCTTTCCATTGATGTGTAGAAGGTTTTACAGAATGAAATGAAAACTTAGCGTAGAAACCTTTACACGAGAATAGGCTCTGCGGCTCTAGGTATGAAATTTCTGGGAAAGCTTAACCTACTCATTCTCCTAAGGGGCATATTTATAGCCTTGGAGAATGGTAGGTTAACAAATGATTGGGCTACAACTTCAAGGAGGCCCATTCCTATTTAGGCAATAGAGCCTTTACTAAATAAAGCCTATTCTATGAATAAATGAACTATTACAAAAAGGCTAAGTAACATTGATCACAATATAATGAAAATATCTCTAACAGAATGGTTTTGGAAAACTAACTTTCCTATTAAAGAAAGTGCCAAGCAACACTTATGTGTAGGACATTTTTCAAGCATCACTATTGAAAAACATCTCAAAATAATAGAAATCCAGCCTTAGGAAGTACCAAGATCTTTTAAGTGCATGAAACAATTTAAAACCATTACACACAGTATGACATAGTGATAGTTAAAAAATATTATAACTCTTAAACGGTTAAACCCTTTTTTATTAAGGGTTTAACAAACTGTCTTCCCCTAGAAGTCGAATACAAAACTTTTTAAAAATGTTGAATATAACTTGAAATCAAACAAAGAATTTGTTAGTTAAAATTTATGTACTCTGATTTGAAGTAGCTTTGCTAGTGCTCAATTTTCTTTTGCAATTTGTATGTTTGAAACTTATAAGTTTGTAATGATTGCCCTGCTAAATATTTTTCCTACTAAAGTAGTAGTGAATTTTTTAGATGCAAAGCAGAATTCTCATTCAAACCAATTGCATATCCATAAGGTGTTCAATTATTGAATGTAGCTTTTTGACAAACACTTTGTGGGCATAAAATGCATATAGTGTACAGGGAATTCGATGAATGAAGTGCGTGATGGGAAATTGAATTAACAGTGACCAAAACGAACGATTACGGTTCGTAGTAACCAAAATGAAAATAATAATAATAATTTAGTATGTACCTTGTTCATAGAGTAGCAGCAAGACCAAACAAGATGTGTGGAGTATCGGATAAGAATTGAAAGCGGATGTGCGAGCGTGAGAATGAATCATATACGGTTTATTTAAGTCTTGAATGTTTTTTTGGGCGAGGGGAAGGGAAGTAACCGCCAACACTTGTTCAGTGAAAGGTTGAAGGGAAGAGTTGAATTTGGCTTTAGAAATGTGACGGAAAAAGAATTGGGAAGGTGACTCTTATTATATAAATAAGGACAAATATGTATCATTTAATTGTGTTACTTTTATTTTGTGATATGTCAAATTTTAGTATTTCATTATATTTCAATGCTATTTAAATACAATAAACAAATGAAGTAAAAGAAAAGAAAACAAAAAAATGAAATCCCAAAGAATTGCAGCAGGGCTGCGTTTCAAAATTCAAAAAACAAAAAAAGTACTACCTATAAAAAAAGTGCAGCCTAAAAACAAAAAAAGAAAAAAACGTAAGCAAATACAGAGTAAAATGAAAAAAAGAAAGAGAGGAGAAAGTTATTAACAGAGTAACAGCGGCATATTGATAAGGTATTAAGGTCAAGGCTGGATGTTACATTTAGATTGGTACTAACAGCGGCATAATGTTGTTTCAATTACTTTGAAAAGTAAAGCATCACTGTTTAGATTAGTCAAAAGAAAAGAAAAAAAAATAACAGTCCACAAAATAGTGTTTCACAGACGGAGGCATTGACGAAAATATGACCGGAGCTTCAGGGGTGACAAGAACACATACCCCTACTCTTACACTCCGGCGAACACTAAACCAAAATAAAGACTGAACAAGATTACATCCCAAATCAGATTAATCAAAAAATGGCCTTCACAATGTCTGGATATCTCCACCCCGGCCAAATCATCCCACAGGTAGCCAAGATCAAAGCATAACCATTGAAAGTGTGTATGTGCTGTTCATTCTTCCCAAGAAATTTCAGCATGACTTCAGTAGCACCATACAGAGCAAGTGCTACAGCCAGAGTGTTGGCACAAAATGACATCCCAACATCTAGCATCTTGATCTTTGAAACCAAAGGCTCTTCAACATTTATAGAGTGTTCCTTCTTCTCTGTATAAACTTCAAGCCTAGGGCTTAAACAGAAAATGAGATTAAGAAAATGAAAGAAATGTTGGAAAATATTCCAGTTAAATGCCCTTGGATCATTTATATAATTTAATAAATATTGGGGACATTTATGTCTTACCATTAAGTTTGCCATATGACAGATTTGGTCTCTTTATTTATGTATAGTTAACATATGATGGGTATGTTTTAACATTAAATAATACATAAAGGGCCAATTGGTTTTCTATTTGATACAAGTTAAGAAACACACGTTCGTTCATTCTTACGACTAAGAGGGAAGTACACGTTTCTTCCCAAAGGTTCTCAAGAACACCTATATTAAGAGACCTAAGGGAGATTGTTTAATCCATCGCAAATCCGCTTGTATCCTTAGAGAATCCAACGACATCATGGCTTCATCATCTTCGCCATCAAAGTTTGGTTTCTCCTCAATCGGTTAGTGTTCTTATTGTTTGATTATATGAATTTTATCATGTTTAGTGAGACTAGATCCTTAATTGGGACTGAATTTCTCTACATTTGGTATCAGAGCCATGTTAATTCTCACTTCTATTTATAAAATTTGCCGTTTTCAATCTGCCATAACCGATTTCCGGCGGTCGTTCTTTTTTTTTTCCTTCTTTCTGCCGGGTTTGTAAACTGTTGTTACGGCTACTTGTAAACAACATGAATCCTCAATCATTATGTTATGTTGTTGTATAATTGCCGACACCCATACATAAATACGGAGTATTTAATTTTGTTAAAGTGATGTTTCTGAGAGTGTCTTAATTTCCGTATGCATTAGAGCCAAAATATGGCAAATTCCTTGTTGCTTGCTATTCGTCTATGCATTAAAGTGGATTAAGTGTATACTCCACAAAATATGTTTTGATGTCCTCGATCAATGCGAATATGCGATACATTCATTATTTAGGCTTCTAAAACTGATTTGGAATAACTAATATTCAGTTTTTTTATGTCAATTTGGAAATCGTATGGATGTATTCCTTTAAAATTCTTGTTTGTTTTCATCCAAAGTAAACACTCGTTTAAGGACTATCGAATTATTTTGGTTCCTTAATCAACGTGTGTGTGCTTTTCGTTTGTTTAAAATTGGACTAAGTCAATCTGTCTCTTTTTCACAATCTGAAACACATTAGTTTTGTGTTAAATCTGTCAAATTTCAGAATGAACCGTATACTGTTTTAGATGCAGTGTAACTCACTTGAAGTGTTTATATGCAAACTGCAATTTAATTATGAACATTTGTAAGCCATCAGTTTGTTATACACGTTAGTTGAAAGTATGGGGTTTTT